TAAGAAAATACTTTAATTTTAGACTATGCTATGTATCCTTCATAACATTCTCCTAATTTAGTATGTTTTAAAGCAAAATTTCCATGTTCATTATTAATTTTATGCTTTTAATTTCTTTCCCTAATTGCATTACAAACTTGTTTAGAGTAAGTATAAAACTTCTACAGTTTTTATGGTAGTTCGTTTAATCGATATAATTTTGATTTTTATCCTTTTTTTTAAACTAAAACCTAAAATATTAATATAAATATTACTTCTTATCCATTAGTTTATATTATAAAATTTAAATCTTTATTATATACATCCATTTAAAATCTGCCATCTTCATGTATTTATAATAATCCATTCTTTGTTTATAATTTACATGATTTTAAATCCCCTAATTTAATAGGAGATTCATTATAAACATTAATAATTGAAGAATTATGTTTAATTAATTTAACACTATTGTCTCTAATGTTTTCCTTATTGTAATTTTCTTTATCTATATTTTCTTTATTGTAATGATTACAACTTGTATTATTAGAATGAGATTCCTAAGGTAAGAAAAATCTAGGAACATTCTCCAAATGATAATTTTATTTTAATCCACCTTTACAATTAGTAGTTTGACCAAATAATAACTTCTTACCACCTAATTATTATTATTTTTATAAGAAAGATGCTACTATTTATTATTTCTCCAATCCAATCATAGAACAAGTAGATTTATGTTAATGTTTTACAAAAGGACTTAGATCAAGAAGTTATTTAATTTATGAACTTGATTGATTCCTACTCTAAATTTTTGGAGGAATAGATTCAATAAAAAAAGGATGTTTTATGATCTTTTCAATAGAATATCTTTAATCAACATCCAAATTTAATAGATTAATGATAAGATCTTTAAAAACCTCACTGAAATTTTTGGGTAAATAAAAATCGCCAATTTTGACTCTTCTCAAAACTTCACCCAAAGGAGCATTTTTTTCTTCAAAGGGTCCATGACCTATAGCCATAGAATATAAACAACATCCCATACTCCATAAATCTACTTTCTTACCATAAGGTTATTGATTTAAGATTTCAGGACTTATATAATTAGGAGTTCCACACAAAGTATTTCTCTCTTCTTCATCATTATTTAATTTTACAGCCAATCCAAAATCAGCTATTTTTAGTATATCATTCTAGATTAATAAGTTACCTAATTTGATATCTCTATGAATTATATTATGAGAATGTAAATATTATAAGCCTTCTGCCAATTATTTTCCATAATAACGTATTTATTATTCAGTGAATAGTTCCTTTTTTATTAACTAATAGATATCTGAATCACATAATTCCATAATCAGATAACTGTTATCCTCATCTTCGAATATGTCTATAAGATGCACTATATTTTTATGATGTAATTCTAAATGAATATCAACTTCATTTTATATTTTTTATGAATTCTATAATGTTTTCTGTATGATCTTGGCAGCCATCTCTACTTTACTTAAACGATTTACAATTTTACACACAAAACTACCTGCTCCACGACCTATTGGGTTCTTGATTTAGTAATTCTTCCTAATCAAAAACAAATACACTTACTGCCAAAGAATCTGATTTCATTATTAACAACTATAATTTTAACAGATTTTAATATTAATTAACTAGAATTATATCACAAATTCATATACAAAAAATACTACATTACAATCTGTCTTCCATTAACAGACCCTTTTATTATTTCATAATTTAAATTTAAATGAAATTGAGTTTTAGTGAATGCAGTCTACTTTCCTCAGTTAAAAGTGGTGATTTAGGTCTCATCACTCATCTTATTGAAGAATTAGCTAAAAGTGTATCGACATTTTTACAAATTTAGATGTACATTTATATTTATACAAAAAAAATAGAAAATCTGATAACAATTTTAGGTAACAACTTTATACCTTTACTTTTTAATTCATTATATAAGCCCTTTAAGGTCAGAATATTGACCCTCAAATAGATTCAAATCCTCCTTAGTAATAAAATATAATTATTGAAATTATCAAAGCCATCAAAGAATTTAAAATTGAATTATTTGATCTAGCAGCATAGAATCCAAATATGTCATTCTTTGATTTTTTGGTTACATAGCAATTTAACGATCTATATGATATCTTAACAGCCTCAGAAAAGTAATTGAATGGACAATTAGAACCCTTAACTCCAAAAAAATAAAAATAAGAAATACATTCAAAACATAATCATGAACTATACTTTTAAACTGACACTGTAAAAAAAAGATCAATGTCAGCTCATCATTCTACTTCTTCAAAATTACTTTAATAAAATAACATTGAATTAGATTTTGCATTACTATAATAATTTGTATACAACCAAATAGAACATAAATAGGACTCACCCAAAGCTAAAAATAAATAAAACCCATAACTCTTTTCTTTTGATTCTACTTTTGTTAGAGATTTACCTCTATCAAAATATAATGCCATAAGCAATTTTGATGAATAATTCAATTTTACACTCTAAAAATCTCAAGAAGATGCTATTTAAACTTCAAGATTCGAGAGTTAAAGAATTGATGAAGAAGAATATTTTGGTACAGATTAATCTAGTTCTGATATTAATTTAACACTTGATAGATCATATAGAGATTGGGATGTTAGGTTTAGATAATTAGCAGAAAAAGAAAAACAAGTTGCTTAAAGAGAACTTAAAACTATTATTTAAGAAAAACATCTTCTTAATAGAACAAGAAGTTAAAGAATGATAAGTCCTAATAGTAAAGAATAAGATCATGATCTTATTAATAGAACAAATAATGAATCAAAGTAATGTTTAGATGCTAAATCAACCTTAAAATTCAAATAAAAATTAAAAGTATTTTATTATTAATAAAGTAGAAAACTAGTATAAATGAAAGATCCGATGTATTTATTATTTGAAATTAAAATTAATTCATTCATTATTTTCATATCTTTATATAATTAACTTATAAAATAATTCAATATATTCTAATCCTTATTAAAAAGGAGTTTTATTTTTTTAAATTGTAAATTTCTATCTAGTAAAATTTGATTTTTTACTTCATTATAGCAACGTTTCTAATAATGAAATTAATTTATCAAAAGTTAAAATATTAAATTTCTTTGTTATAAATTCACATAGAAATACATAAAATCCATTTTAATCTTTATCGCCTTTATCTTAAAATCCTTTTTTAGATGTTATTTTAGCAAATTATTATTATTATTTACTAACAATTTTTTTTGATTACTTTATTTAAACATATTGAAGATCAAAGTATTTAAATCTCATTTCTATTATATATTTAAAGACTTTGTTTAATTTTATATATTTTATAATTGATGCTGGGATGATTGTTTAATTGTATCCATTTTTTAGATGTTGAAAAATTCCATTATTATTTTAAAATGAATAAATTTACTTTGTTTTTCTTGGATAAAAAAATTGAAGCTCGTTATTAGGCTTAGTCTCTTTAGCAAATTAGGATTATGCATTTTAATTTACTTTCGAAAGGTTATATAGTCACTTTCTTTTTCAGAAGCCTTACCTTTTTATTAAATAGCGATTCAAATAGATTTTATCCAAATCTATCAATGCTTATATTCTTTATTTTAGTAGAGATTTTTTTAAGAAGACACAATTTAAGTTTGAGAATCCTTTCTGTAATTGCAAATCACATGTTGACAATTTTTTTTTATTTATATGATGAAGAAACAGATGTTGCTATTTCATATTTAAAAGGAGTTAACTAAATGGGATCTAACTTTTTAATAACAATGGGTAGTGAGTTTCCAGAAGCATTAATATAAGTATTATCAATTACAACCATAAGAATATTTTTCGTTTTGTAATAATCAAAAACACTTAGCTTATATCCAATTTCAAGCCTAATACTAGTTTCTATGTTTTATTTATTTTTTCATTATAAATACAATGAAGCAATGAGAGCCTAATTTATGCTCATATAAAAAGATGGATAATGGGAGAGGATATTAAGGTAATTAATTGATAAGCAAACTTACATCTTATTAAATTTCAATGAAAATTCCTGTTAATTTGAATATGTAATGGCAAAAAATTTTCAAAGTTGCTTAAAAAATAAAAAAGAGATTTTAAATTTCTTTAAAGAAGCTTAATATAATAGAAAATCCTTAAATGATTATTTGTATTATTAGATGAAACGATACTAAACAACAAGAATTGATATTTTTAAAAAAGAAATATTTGTCAAGAAACAACGAGAATTAGTAAAATTAGAATTTTCAATTTTTTTTGGAAATAAACCAACTATTTTAATTATTTTCCATAAACCTAAATTGTAGATATAAAATGTTTAAGGGAATATAAATAACAAAGTCCTATTTTAATACTTAGGAAGATTATTAAGTTGTTTTAATAAAAAATATAAAACTAAACCATCCTTTATTAATTTTAAGAAAAAAATTCGTTTGATAGAAATATATTAAAACTTACAAAGTAGTTGGGAAGAATAAGTTTAAGAAATAAATCTTTGGAATATAATTTAAGAACAAGTAAAATATTTTCCTAACATCATTATCATGATTAACTTGAAGTCTTCAATTATTATGAAAGCTAACAAAGACATTATAAGCTTAATTTTATTTAAGATATTTTAGAATACCAATACTTCTCTAATCAAATTGACATATACTTTTCCATAAGTAGAAGAGAAAATCCAACTACATTTTGATGGTAGTTTTAATGGTAAAGTAATCCTTTAATTTTTTACATTTCATAAAGAACGTTTATGTAGATTTGCCATGCTAACAAATATAACTAATGACAGTAATCATATTAACTTATGTTAGGCATTGATCTTTATTTTGAAACAAATCCATTCATACCATTTACTGGTAAAGAAAAATAATAAAATAATCTTCAAAAATCAGTTTGATTTTAAATTAAAATATTTAATATACTTTATATTAATAAATAAGGTAAAGGATAAATATATTTATTATTAAATAAATGGATCATTCTTCAATTCTTGCCAGCTTAAATGGAATAAAAGCTTCCTTATTCAAAGTAATTTATATACTTTGATTATTTTACATCTGCAACTGATTAATTATTGTTAAAAAATAAACATTATACTCCTAAATCAACTAACATATTTTATTTGTTTAAAAATTCCCTCGCAAAATTAATCTAATTGTCGATTTTGATTCCTCATAATAGCGATATGAGATGTTCTTTCTTAAATTATTAACTTTAAGGGTAGTTTTCGAGCAATATTATATAATTAAAATTAGAGCACTGAATATACAAGGTATTGTTTATAATTAAATCTCCTTACAAAAAATATCAAAATTAGAATCTTAGATTAATCCAAATCTTTCAAGAAATAGCTTTAAATTTATCTAATGTATTGAATATTTTCTATTTTCTAATTTATACAGTATTGATTCTAACCTTAAAAACTTTGAAAGCTTTACGAGTTTATTAGTATTCATTGAATTGTTGTTGATAACTCTTTATAAAATCCTAGAATACAATATAATTTTATTATAAAGTAAATTAATATTTCTATTTTTTGATTATTAAACAGTTTCAAATATAATTAAAATAGTAGGTTAAGTAGTAAAATAAATAGAATATTTAAGTTTAAATAAAGATAATGAATTTTTAACAAATATAATTGATGAATTAATAGGATTATGATTATTTAAATGTAGTTATATTTATTAAAAGAAATAATGTTCTAAATTAGATTTTTCAATTTAAGATTATCTTAAAAATGTTTTATAATCTTTATCATAAAAATATTATTCACAATTATGTTAAGATTATATTTAAAATTAATATGTATCTTAAATAAAATTAATAATAAAATATGATTGATTTTCTATTATACTTTCTAATACATTTTCCCATTTTTATTCTACTAAAGTTAATAAATATTATGATCTTATTGCTTTATGATGAAAATATAAATAATATATTAATATTATCATTATTAATATATTACCTGTTAATATTTCATATTCATTTTAAGAGCTATATAAAATTGTATATATTCCTTTTGTTACTTATATAAATATAATTTAAACTACACTTTCTGGAAAATCACCAGATAATACAATTATTAATGAACTTAAAGCACTATTTGCACCTCTTAAATGAGAATACATATTATTACTAGGTTCTTCATAAATAAATGTAAAAATTGATAATCCACAATTTGTAATTATTAGGCTTAATCGTTTTAATAGGTAATATTTTGAATAACTTCTCAAAAAAATTAACATAGCCACAACTCCCAAATTTATTCCTGTATTCACCCATTCAAAATTAATTACTTTCATAATGGTCCTTAAGATAAAACTAATAACCATTCCTCCAATTATTATATTTAGTCCATATTTTTTCTAATGTTAATATTTTTTTTCAGTATTTTCATCCCTAAAAATTAATGTGTATTTATTCATGAATATTTTAATTAATTAATAACATAATCTTAAATATAGTATATCAATAGACTAAGCTCCTTATTCATATGATATAAGTATCAATAAACTGGTAGGCTCCTAGTTAATATAATATCAAAAATTCTATTTATAAATTCCACTTGTAAAGGGCGAAAGCCAAATTCAAGTTTTATGTTTCACTAATTATAGTAGTCAGATTCACTCTTGAAAATATCTTAAGAGTTAATTAGAATCAAGAAATGGAAAGTCTTTTGTGATTTTGCATAACATCATATACAATGATTGTAATCAGAAAATTAAGTAAAAATATCTNATACAATATAATTTTATTATAAAGTAAATTAATATTTCTATTTTTTGATTATTAAACAGTTTCAAATATAATTAAAATAGTAGGTTAAGTAGTAAAATAAATAGAATATTTAAGTTTAAATAAAGATAATGAATTTTTAACAAATATAATTGATGAATTAATAGGATTATGATTATTTAAATGTAGTTATATTTATTAAAAGAAATAATGTTCTAAATTAGATTTTTCAATTTAAGATTATCTTAAAAATGTTTTATAATCTTTATCATAAAAATATTATTCACAATTATGTTAAGATTATATTTAAAATTAATATGTATCTTAAATAAAATTAATAATAAAATATGATTGATTTTCTATTATACTTTCTAATACATTTTCCCATTTTTATTCTACTAAAGTTAATAAATATTATGATCTTATTGCTTTATGATGAAAATATAAATAATATATTAATATTATCATTATTAATATATTACCTGTTAATATTTCATATTCATTTTAAGAGCTATATAAAATTGTATATATTCCTTTTGTTACTTATATAAATATAATTTAAACTACACTTTCTGGAAAATCACCAGATAATACAATTATTAATGAACTTAAAGCACTATTTGCACCTCTTAAATGAGAATACATATTATTACTAGGTTCTTCATAAATAAATGTAAAAATTGATAATCCACAATTTGTAATTATTAGGCTTAATCGTTTTAATAGGTAATATTTTGAATAACTTCTCAAAAAAATTAACATAGCCACAACTCCCAAATTTATTCCTGTATTCACCCATTCAAAATTAATTACTTTCATAATGGTCCTTAAGATAAAACTAATAACCATTCCTCCAATTATTATATTTAGTCCATATTTTTTCTAATGTTAATATTTTTTTTCAGTATTTTCATCCCTAAAAATTAATGTGTATTTATTCATGAATATTTTAATTAATTAATAACATAATCTTAAATATAGTATATCAATAGACTAAGCTCCTTATTCATATGATATAAGTATCAATAAACTGGTAGGCTCCTAGTTAATATAATATCAAAAATTCTATTTATAAATTCCACTTGTAAAGGGCGAAAGCCAAATTCAAGTTTTATGTTTCACTAATTATAGTAGTCAGATTCACTCTTGAAAATATCTTAAGAGTTAATTAGAATCAAGAAATGGAAAGTCTTTTGTGATTTTGCATAACATCATATACAATGATTGTAATCAGAAAATTAAGTAAAAATATCTAAAAATAAAGCAAATTATTGTTAATTTCAATTTAACATGAATTTGTTTTTGATAATATTTTAATACTTAACAACTAATTTATTATGCTGGAGAAAATTTTTATAGAATACCATGAATAATCGAAAATTACTATTTTTGGATAAATATTATATAGATATTTAAAAAGTAATTTAGATTACCTTAACATTATTTATTTTTAGAATTAATCAAATATTTTGCAATTTTTTTTACCTTAAATGAATAAATACACATTAAAATTCAGAGATTCAAATATCGAAACAACTTATCAATCTTAAAAAAATTAAGGATAAAACATTATATTAGCTGGCCTTACATTTATTTTTATTTTTAGATGTGTAGCATAAATTCTAAATTTTAATCTTTTGAACTTTTTAATATACTTAGCGATCATAATCCTATTTATATTTTTTAAAATGATGTAAAAATAGCAAGGTTTGAAGAATTTCTCACTCGTTTTAATAAATTGTGGATTATCAATTTTTACATTTATTTATGAAGAACCTAGTAATAATATGTATTCTCATTTAAGAGGTGCAAATAGTGCTTTAAGTTCATTAATAATTGTATTATCTGGTGATTTTCCAGAAAGTGTAGTTTAAATTATATTTATATAAGTAACAAAAGGAATATATACAATTTTATATAGCTCTTAAAATGAATATGAAATATTAACAGGTAATATATTAATAATGATAATATTAATATATTATTTATATTTTCATCATAAAGCAATAAGATCATAATATTTATTAACTTTAGTAGAATAAAAATGGGAAAATGTATTAGAAAGTATAATAGAAAATCAATCATATTTTATTATTAATTTTATTTAAGATACATATTAATTTTAAATATAATCTTAACATAATTGTGAATAATATTTTTATGATAAAGATTATAAAACATTTTTAAGATAATCTTAAATTGAAAAATCTAATTTAGAACATTATTTCTTTTAATAAATATAACTACATTTAAATAATCATAATCCTATTAATTCATCAATTATATTTGTTAAAAATTCATTATCTTTATTTAAACTTAAATATTCTATTTATTTTACTACTTAACCTACTATTTTAATTATATTTGAAACTGTTTAATAATCAAAAAATAGAAATATTAATTTACTTTATAATAAAATTATATTGTATNTAAGGTAATCTAAATTACTTTTTAAATATCTATATAATATTTATCCAAAAATAGTAATTTTCGATTATTCATGGTATTCTATAAAAATTTTCTCCAGCATAATAAATTAGTTGTTAAGTATTAAAATATTATCAAAAACAAATTCATGTTAAATTGAAATTAACAATAATTTGCTTTATTTTTAGATATTTTTACTTAATTTTCTGATTACAATCATTGTATATGATGTTATGCAAAATCACAAAAGACTTTCCATTTCTTGATTCTAATTAACTCTTAAGATATTTTCAAGAGTGAATCTGACTACTATAATTAGTGAAACATAAAACTTGAATTTGGCTTTCGCCCTTTACAAGTGGAATTTATAAATAGAATTTTTGATATTATATTAACTAGGAGCCTACCAGTTTATTGATACTTATATCATATGAATAAGGAGCTTAGTCTATTGATATACTATATTTAAGATTATGTTATTAATTAATTAAAATATTCATGAATAAATACACATTAATTTTTAGGGATGAAAATACTGAAAAAAAATATTAACATTAGAAAAAATATGGACTAAATATAATAATTGGAGGAATGGTTATTAGTTTTATCTTAAGGACCATTATGAAAGTAATTAATTTTGAATGGGTGAATACAGGAATAAATTTGGGAGTTGTGGCTATGTTAATTTTTTTGAGAAGTTATTCAAAATATTACCTATTAAAACGATTAAGCCTAATAATTACAAATTGTGGATTATCAATTTTTACATTTATTTATGAAGAACCTAGTAATAATATGTATTCTCATTTAAGAGGTGCAAATAGTGCTTTAAGTTCATTAATAATTGTATTATCTGGTGATTTTCCAGAAAGTGTAGTTTAAATTATATTTATATAAGTAACAAAAGGAATATATACAATTTTATATAGCTCTTAAAATGAATATGAAATATTAACAGGTAATATATTAATAATGATAATATTAATATATTATTTATATTTTCATCATAAAGCAATAAGATCATAATATTTATTAACTTTAGTAGAATAAAAATGGGAAAATGTATTAGAAAGTATAATAGAAAATCAATCATATTTTATTATTAATTTTATTTAAGATACATATTAATTTTAAATATAATCTTAACATAATTGTGAATAATATTTTTATGATAAAGATTATAAAACATTTTTAAGATAATCTTAAATTGAAAAATCTAATTTAGAACATTATTTCTTTTAATAAATATAACTACATTTAAATAATCATAATCCTATTAATTCATCAATTATATTTGTTAAAAATTCATTATCTTTATTTAAACTTAAATATTCTATTTATTTTACTACTTAACCTACTATTTTAATTATATTTGAAACTGTTTAATAATCAAAAAATAGAAATATTAATTTACTTTATAATAAAATTATATTGTATAATAGAATGCTACAAATGTCAATTAATTAAATACAAAATTAAAATTTTTTGTATCAACGATTAAAACATTATTTATAGATAGAAAATGTTATGTTTTAACTAGAAAAAGGAAATTTTAAGCTTCAAACAATAAAACTAAATAAATTTTTAATGAAATTTTCCTTTATTTAGAACCTAAGCAATTATTAATAGAAAAAAGAATTGAAAATCACAACACTTCCTAATGTTCTAAAAGCATTGTTTTTGTTAATCAGGGATTTTTCTATTTAAGTAAAAGATAGAGAGAAGTAAATCTAAAATAGTATCTTCTTATCATATTAAGATGTATCAGAAAATTAAGTCGTGTTGATTTTATAAGGTAGATTTTAAGTTAAATAAATCTAAAATTTGATTGATATTTATAAGCTACAATTCTACACAATATTGAGCAACATTGATATATACTAAGATAAAATTATAAAGTTAATTTTAAAAAAGAGAATCTAGATACCATTTATAAATAAATTGGATATATGAATTAAAATTTATATCTTATGTAATAATATATAACTATTATTTTTTGATATTAACTAACTAAAACTAATTTTGAATCGATATATATTTACGAATAGAATAATTGATCTTAAAGTGGTTTTGTAGAGAAAATTATAATAAAATTGAAATAAAATGAATAATTGAAACATACTTACGTGTAGAGATATAAATATTTAAGAATAAAAAATAATGTAAAAATTTTGATTAATAAAAATGAGTTTAATAGTGTTGTTAACATTATTCGTTTTTGGTTATTGCGATTAAAAGGAGAAAGGATTACAGAAAGTGAAAGTTCAAGTAGCTACAGTATTAGATGGATATTATAAAGAATTTGATGGAGTATTATGTTATTCAGAGAAATATAATCAATTTGTGATTTATCATGAAAGATCTAAGGCTAAAAGTAATATTGAATTTTAATTTAATAGATTTAAAGGAGTTGTTTCCTGAATCAGATTTCTTTTTGTAATTTTGTATGAATGGAAACGCAGTTGGATTGAGTCTTTAGAATTTTGTTCCTTAGGTGATAATAAATGAAGATTAATATAAGAGTGTAGTATTTACTGTAAAACCAGAAGTGAAGAAGGGTAAGATAGTATGTAGATGATTTATTAGGGACTACATTAAAAATAGCTTTTGTTTAAGCAGATTATGAGGGAGAACAAGAGAGATTTATAGATCTTTTAGAGAATTAAATAGATACTTATAAGCCAATCAGTGAGACTTAATTGGATTATGCAGCAATGGAATTTGAACATAAGTTTATTTAATATGTAAAGAAGATGCATGATGAATTGTGATTTATATAATAAATAAATGTAGTATTTAATGATGCCGATTTAGCTCAGTGGTTAGAGCATTTGCCTCGTAAGCAAAGGGTCGGGGGTTCAATTCCCCCAATCGGCTCTTTTTTTTGGATGTGTGTCTATCTTATTAAATAATTTATTAAAAAAATGGATTATGAATAGGTAATGAATGACAAGAAGTTGAGAGAGTAGCTAGAAGGAGGGGAAACGATAGTGTTGACAATGAAAGTGATAAAGTTTACAGGATAAAATAAAAAGTTGCCAAGAGTGATAGTAATGATAATAATTGATATTGTTTATAGGCAATAACAAATAAGAACATATATAATATATCTCCAGCTGAAGGAAGTGCTGTAAAGAACTTCTTTTAGAATTTGGTGTAGAAGTAAGAATTTGAATAACCTAAATTAGATCAAGGATAAAGAGAAAAATAGCATTATCAGCAATAATTGGAATAACCATTTCAAAAATAGTAAAAGAGTTTATACTTCATATTCCAACCGAATATGATTAGCGATATTAAGTAGATGATTAGTAAATATAGTCCAATATAATTTAAGATTGGCATTAATAATCTAAACACTTTGTGAAGTTTATGTAAAACATAATTTAAAGAAAATTAAATGTTTCTTCATTGAAGAAATGAATCTAAGTTAATATACAACAACTAATTATGATATTAAAAAGAATATTAGAAGATAATTACCTAAGTAAGGAAATGAAATGACAGTTGATGAGGTGAAAATGGCAATGCAAGCATCAAGGGGAAATGTTTAAACATTATATCAGAAATCAAATTCTCCTGAGATTAGTATTGAAGATTTTACATTAATTAAAATGTTGGGTAGAGGGGCATTTGGTAAAGTGATGTTATGTGAGAAGAAGGATACAAAAGAGATTTTTGCAATTAAGAGTTTAAGAAAAGAAGATATTATTTCTAGAGATCATATAGAATATTTGAAAACTGAAAGAAAGATATTAGAATAGACATAACATCCATTTTTAGTATCATTAGAATATGCCTTTATTACTTAAGAATGTGTATATTTTGTGATGAAATTTATGATGTAAATTATCAATTATATGTTAGAGGCGGTGAATTATATACTCATTTATAAAAGATAAATAAATTTAATGAAGAATTTGCTTTATTCTATTCATCTTAAGTTTTATTGGCTTTGGAATATTTGCATAAATAGGGCATTATTTATAGAGATTTAAAACCAGAAAATATTTTGATGGATGAAAAAGGATACGTTGCATTAACAGATTATGGATTAGCTAAATTCTTATCAAAAGGATAAGTTACATAATCAATTGTAGGTACACCTGAATATTTGGCACCTGAAGTAATTACTCAATAAGGACATGCTTTTACAGCTGATTGGTGGTGTTTGGGTATATTAATGTAAGTTATTATAATATATATTTAAGTTATGAAATGTTATGTGGTAAAACTCCTTTCTTTTCAGAAAATAGAAATTAGATGTTTAGAAATATTGTTGAATCTGATTTGAAATTTCCATCAACTCTTCATATTACTCCAGAATGTAAGAATCTACTTTCAAGTTTACTTAAAAAGAAACCTAATGAACGTTTGGGAAATAAAGGAGATGCTGAAGAGATTAAAAAGCATCCCTGGTTCAAACGTATGGATTTTTAGAGATTGATTGCAAAAGAAGTAATATATATATATTGTATTATGTAGATTTAAGCACCAATAATACCAGACTTATAATCTGCCACTGATTTATCAAATTTTAATCCCCAAATTTTAGATGAAAGTAATTTTAAATTATTTTATTTAAGAAATTGAGGAAGGTGAGCCATAAGGTACAACAAATACTTAGGCTTTGCAAAAATTTGATTAAGAATTCTATGGTTTGAATTACAAAAAAGAATGATTATTGTTTTATAGATTCATGAATTTGATTATTTCATAAACTTATAATCAATTATTGAAAATGGATTCTAGTATTTATTTAGCAGATCCAGGATTCTTAAATTCTGCTTCATTTAACTCTTATTATAAAGCTTTTAGAGCATTTTGAAGAAGTTAACTTTCATTATTCTTTGCAACAATCTACTTATGTCTATCTAAAACTTAATTCATAATTAGTAAAAAGTTAACTTCTTCAGGTTATTTAGTTTTAGTGCCTCCACAATCAGATTAAAATTTATTTTAATTCATAATATAATCATTTAGGAATTCCATAAATTCTAATAGTTTTATCTTAACAACCAGAAACGAGAAATCTTCCATCTAGGGAATAATTGAAACTCATAGCAAAATATTAATGACCAGGAATGGAATCTCCAATTTACTATCTGGTTGATATCTCAAATACTCGAATTTCCTTTCTAATACAAGCAAGTAATTTGCCATCTGGTGAAATAGCAAATCTATGTGGATCATTCCCTGGAATAAAATTCCAAATTTATTATCTATGCATGTAATCCCAAACAATTATATTTTTTTCTGTTTAACTACATGATATTAAATATTATGGAGTAAATTAAATCCAATCTACTTTTTCAGAATGACCCATTAATGGTTATCCAATCTATGCTAATCCATGAATATCCCATAATCGAATAGTCTTATCTAAGGAACATGATGCTATTATTTAATTGTCATAACTATATTAAACACAATAAATCTTAGCCTCATGTTCCTTCTTAAATAATTTCATTACTATATCTTTCTAATCAATATTCCACATTATTAGATTTGCATCCCAACCTGAAGATAATAAACAATTATTCTAATTATTAAAGTGCAATGAACTCACATGATCATTATGTCCTTTAAGTTTCTTAATAAATTTCTTTGTCTCCATATCTAAAAATTTTATATATCCTTCTGAACTACCCATTACCAACACTTTAGAATCAGAAGTGATTGCCAATGATGTTATTATTGCTCTATGCTTTTTAGAAACCCATAATTTTTCTAAAGAATTCATATTCCATATTATTATCTTATTATCATCTCCTCCACTGATAAGGTCACCTCCTTTTATTGGTTACAAACACCACACTTCCCCATCACTTTATATTGTACGGATATGATTACTAAAGGCTCCCACTAAATTCTCAGGTTTTACAGAATTTACATCACTGTTTCCAATTACAAAACTAGTCAACTTTTATATACACTCCTTTAATAAATTTCCTATATTCAATGACTACAAAGGTTTTACTATTTTAATCTTTAATTAATCTTATTTCAAAGTAGCTATCTCTATTATTTATTTTGATAACTACTCAATTCTCTCAGGTTATTAAACAAATTAAAATTCCTATGCATACTTTTATGCTTAATAGGAAAACCTTCCAAAGTGTCGTTTAATTTTATCTATTGTACTATCTATAATACGATTCAACTCAGATCTCAAAATTTCTATCTCCTCTAAAGTCTCAATTATTGATTCATGTAAATGAGGTTATTTCATATTTAAAAACTAATTTAAGAAATCTTCAATTTAAGACAATTCCATCACTTTATGATTTTTATGGTAATAAGGAATGCAATAATCTCTACATATCAATTTGCGAACCTAAGGACATTAAGGTGATATACAGAGCATATACTCATTTTATTAATGTCCTAACATACATTAAAATCCACTTGCCCATTATTACAAATTCATTTAAAATTATTTATATTAATTATTTTAAAATTATTAAATAGATCAACAACACTAATCCTATATTACTCATTTTCAAATGTCTATAAATTCTATTCTGAATACCTATTCAATAAAAAGTTTCACATTATCTTCAAAGATATTTCAATATATATATTATAATAATAATATTGATATATTTTATATTAAATTTAAGTGATTAAAAAGATCTATATATTTTGATATATTTATCAAATAACTAAATTATTTACATCTCAATTAAAATATATATATAAAAGTATAAAAAAAATGAGATTATTTTTCATTATTAAATTGTAAATTGCTTAAAAATGAACTTCTTTCATATCATTATTGTTAGTTATTATTTTCTACTCGTATTTTTCAACAGTAATTTTATTTAAACTTATTCTTTCATACATAAATGTCTAAATTTCTAATTACTAAATTCAATCATGAATATATATTAAAATTCACCTATATTTTATATTAAAAATAACAATTTTTATTTTGTTAAAACTAGTTTTCTTAACTATTTTTACTTCTTAGTTCCATATTTCAACTATTTAATTTATATAACTACTTTGACTCTGATAATCATTAATTATTTTTTTAAGTTTTATCTTCTCAATTCATTTGTAATATTTAAATAATCTTTATTTAGTTTAAACTAATTTGATATTCTTCTGTGTGATAGAAATTTCTTATTCTCAATTATCTTTAAAAATATATTATAATTACTTTATTTTTGTAATATAATTGTAAAATAAATTTGAGAAGTATAAAGACATGTGGATAATATTAGAATAAATGTGGAAAATATTAGAAATGCTAAATTGATAATTAATAAAGGAGAAAGAATTTTGCTTTAGAAATTTTAATAAAATGATGATAAGTAAATTCAAATGTGAAAAATAGATGGATTTCCTTATTGATGAATTCCTGAACTTGAAGATTATTGAAATCATGATTTAAGATAATGAATATATACTTTATTTATAATATATAGGTAGAAAAATTGGTGTATAAGAGAAAAAAATAAATAATTTTGTAATTCTATTGAAAATTCTAATAATTTGAAAAAAAACTTCTTCATAAGTTAATGTTTTTTCAATAAAAGATAAAGCAATATCTATAATCATTCTAAGATTAATCAACTGTTAATATTTTAGTATCTTATTCACACATAAATTCTTCATATAAAAAAATATAATAGAATTTTTTTGATTACTAATATGGAATTAGAATAAACAATTGATATAGATCATTGAATGATCATATAATGAATTAATTAATGAATTTAATTGTTTCATCATAAAGAGACTCTAAATTTTATTGTGATATTTTGGATTTTATAAAATCAGCAATTTCATAAGCCTAACCTAGTTTAATAGGAATTTAAGTATTTAAATTTTGATTGATCTAAAATTTAATTAAAAAGGGATTTGCTTCTGCTTTATGTAACCAATCATGAATAAATTGTCTAGGATTTATTATTAATTAATTTTCTTATGAGGTAGTTTTATAAAAGCAATTCTAAAAACTTTATTATATAGTCTGATTTATAAATTATAATAATTACAGGCTGTTTAAAATGTTCAAAATATACAATTTTAAACTCACTTTCATAATTTATAATATTGCTGATGAAGACTACGCAATCAAAAGAGGCTTTATCATTTAAACTATGTATTTTATTCAATACTGTTATTTCAATTATGTCTGTATCAATATATTCTTACAGCCACTCATAATATTAAGGATTGAGAATATTTGAGTCTTATTTATTTATTTTTTTCATCTTAAATTATTTAAATAATAGTATTAATCAAATCAATATATTTAAATATATATACATATATACAAATCATTTTGAAAAGAAATTATTGACAATTTAATAGATGATTGGATGAATATTGACAAAATTCAACTAATTAGATTAGGATTTTTAATTTATAATATATTGCACAGCTGCACCAAACTAAATTCTTAATTCACTACTTGTCATATTAATTAAATTGTTAGTGTAATTTATATCTATTTAAGAACTTTATTCTATTTTTGAATACATTTATTAACTTGATACATATTCACTTTTGGAAATAGAAATTGAAGTAAATTATTAATTGATATTTTACTTTTTTGGAGTCATAAAATGACATTCTGAATTTCTCAAATTGGAAATCTAATTATCTAGAACAATAGAATCTGTTTGTTTCAAAAGAATATTGTGTTTAGTTAAAAATTCTAGAATGATTAACTTAATCTTATTAAACACACTAATCATTAAAAATAATATTTAAATAAGTCTTAAAGAATCACATAGCAGTCTTTTCCCATTTTTCAAAGTCTTTAAATCTTACTGTAAAATCATTGTTATTATTTCTTTTTGCTTATGAAAAGCTCTAAATTTTTAATAAAATTATACAGTAATGAAAGATTTAGCATCTTCACCAGCATTCTCAAATAATTAACAAAAATCTTCAAATTCTAATTAATTACCTTGAAAATCTCCAAGAAATGAATCCAAATCAATTTTAAGTTCAAATTCACTTTAAACAATATCAAAAATCATTTATTTTTAAACAACACCTGTTCTATCAGGATTACCTCCTAAGGCTACAAATGCATCAACTAAAATGATATAATTTATATAACAATACTATATTCTTATGTAATTGTTTCTTCATCATTCAATTATTATTAGTAGTTTTTAAGTTTACAATAAATATCACATATTTATTTTAAATCTAACATTTTAGCATCTTATTGTTTAAGTTCTTCCTTAAATTTAGCAATAAGTTTTTCATTATCAAGTAATTTAAGATCTAAATGATAAAATATGTTAAAATGCCTCTCATAATATCATCAACTTCTGTTTTGCTTACATATCCAGTACCTTTAGGATCATAGCGTTTAGCTTAAGTCATAAGTTCATTAATTTCAACTTAATTGAGATTAAATGCACTTTTAATTTATTGAATAATATCAGCTTCTAATAATAAAGACTTGCGTTTCATTTACAAAATTTAATTATTTATTAAATTCTTATTACACAATATTAAATCACTTGGGTTTCCATGATATTTAATCACTAGCACCTATAAGCTATTATTTCAATTATTTAGGATTAGCCCATTAAGAATTTAAATAAACATCCTCATTATCAGCTTCTAATTCCTAAACGCTTATTAAAATGAAAAAATACTTTTTATTCTTATTATTTTTTATAATAGAATGCCATCATTTTCTTTTATGTTTCAGCATCTACAGCAGGTTCTCTAACAGGAGCCCCAGCCCCAGTTTTTTATAATCTTACAATCTAAAATATAAAATATATTTAAGTAAAATTACAATTTTAGTTTTGTCATTCTTTCCAATAAAATCAGACAATAATTTGCCTCTTAATAATTCTTTTCCAGCCCACCATAAAGATGTATTTTTCTCATCTAAAAAATCATATTATTCTGTAAATGTAGCTTGAGTATCATATTAACCTTCTAAGATTTCTCTAGCTGGTTCCCAAGGTGGTAATCCATGATATCCAGGATAACAAATCATCATACAACCTCTTAATAAATCTAATTATTCTTAAACAATCTTTGTAGTAAGACATTATTTTTATTCAACTAGATTTTTTGAAATTGCTTATTTGACTTTTGTACAATTCTCAATAACCATCTTTGACAATTCCTCTGTTTAAATTACTCCTGTACGATATGATGTTTTATCTGGATTCAATCGTTAACCAGGTAATAATTATTAAGGAGTAACTGCCCATGGTTTTTTTTCAGGTGCCATTGTTTCAATAGCTGCATCAATTAATGATTATTCAGATAGTCCTCTAGTATCTTCAGGTTTTAAGGGTCCTATAATATAATCTTAATATATATATATTACCATGAGTAGCCAAATCTTCCATTGCACATGCTAAACGATCTAGAATAATCCTCATGTTATTTACTAATATGTTATTCATATTTTATTACTTTATACAAGGTCTTTTATGACTGAATCAGTAGGAGTATTAGCATTACATTCATATAAGAATTGATTTAACTCTGTTTTCTTATAGTGGATTAAAACCATTTATATATATATATAAATTGATATGAAATATGAATGTATTAATATATGAATATAAATTATTCATAAATTTGCTGCAATACTTAATTTATTACAGGTATCTTCTAATAAACTAAGTAAATGTTCTTCTGATTATTCTCTAGTTCTTTTCTCTTAATCTAATTCTACTTTCACTCTATTAACAATATCTTTAAGCATTTCAAATATTGATTATTCACTTTCATCTCTATTTCTTTTTTCTACATTAATTAAATTACTCAATTTTACCAATTCATCTGTAATCGATTTCATTACCTAATATATATATTTAATTTTATTACATTTTAATCAGATTCATCTCTTTCATTAGCTTCTTCTCTAATAGCCTCTTGTATCTTTGGTAAATCATTTTGTAATCCTTAATGAATTCCTTCTATAGCATCTATTCTTTAAGCAGTTTCCTTTTAAACTTCAGTTCTAAGTAATGCTGATTTATCTTCTGTCAATCTAAGAATCTTAGCTTCTCCTTCCTTCTTTGTTTATTATTCATTTTCTATTGCATTTTCAAACTTCTTAGTCAAAGCTTAAACATCTCTATTCTTAGCTTCAATAGCTTATTCTTTTGCCTATCTGTCATCTTCCACTTGTTTTTATAATTTGCCTAACTGTATATCAATTATATAGATTATTTACTTAATCTCTTAATCCATTCAATCTTGTAAAGATTTACTCTTAAAATTCATTAAATGCATCTTCTGCTTATTAAATACGTTATTCTGCTTATTCTAATTTCTAAAATCTTTCATTCTCAACTCCAATCTAAATTGTTGATAATTTCTCTGAAATCTTTTAAATTCTACCTGTACTTGGTGATGGTTAGGCATCTAATATAAAATAATTAATAAATTACATAAAGATTGTTTGACTCTAGACATTTGGATATTATGTAATTTATTTTAATATAAATATAATTAATTTTATTTATTTCCAATTTAATTATTTATAATTTATATTGCTGTTTATCTTTACCTTAATTAAATCACATTGCATTAATATAAAATATATGTTAATTTCTTAACCTTATTTTCTTACTCAGTATAATTATGAAAAATACATAAATATAAATTAATGGAATACTATAAAATATTAACTTTAATGATTAATCAAATTAAAATATTATATGAATCATCATTAAATGATCAAATAATAAGTTTATGTTAGCTAATAATAATAAAAACTAATTGATTTTAGTATAAAATATATATTTATGTAATTAATAAAACAATGAATAAATTTTCACAAACTTTTCAATAGAAACAATTAGAAATTTTGTATCAGAAAGAAAAGGAACAATATTGTTATGATAACTTTAAGAAAATAGCCTTCTTGTCTTTTATAATAGCCCTAATAAGATTAATAAGTTTTGCTAATCAAGAGAATGTTGCTGGTATATTAATCACATCAACAATATTATCCATTATATTACTGATGTCTATTTTAATTTTAAAATTCTGTTAATCTGGTACCATATTTTGTATGGTCTTTATTAACTATTTACTTATTTTACACTAAGTTCATGATTAATAAAATAGTAATCAATTTATTCTTGGTACTAATTTAGCTATTGCACATACAACAATATTTCTAATTATTGATTATAAATTAGCTGCAATCAACATATTTATTTAAACTATAATCAAATTGATAATAGCAGGATTCTTAGATGGTAAAACTGATATGTGTTCAATTGTATTATCTATTTTATGTCCAATTTGTTTTATTTCTATACTATTTAGTATAGAAAAAGAAAGAAGACTATTATTTTTAAATAATAATCAAGGAAATGATTGGCGTATATTATATATTTTAATATTTTATAGATTAATTATTACCTTCAGTAATAAGCGACCCATTTGTATTATTTTCATTTGATCATAATAGAATGTGTTTTAAATACAAGAATTCAAATAAAATAGATAGATTTCCATATTGCACTTTAGAATTCTCTTAAGAAGATAATTTTAGATAATTTTTTAGATTATAACATATATCTGGTGTAACAATTGAATAATTCGTACTGGACCGAATAGATAAAAAATCTAAATTTTTTGATCTAAATTAATTTACATTAAAACCTAGTTAATATGATTCTATTGATTTTGAAGAAACTAATATACTACTTGCAGAATTATATAATATAGATGATAATTTTTTGATTGTCTTAGAATAATCTAAGTAAAGAACATAATATTTATAATCTACAAAAGATAAATTAATTAATTTGATTGATTAACATCAATAAATAGTATAAAACTTTTTAAAGAAATAAGCAACATTAATTAATCTTAGTTTATAGAATGAAATATCAAGAGTTTAATTACTATATTAATTAAAATTACATCATTTATATTTTTAAGGAAAATATAAGATATCAAATTCATTTTCATAAGCCAATACATATTTTGAAACTGTTTCTATTGATTATAAGTAAATATTTATATCTATAATATCATTGTTTTAAAAAGCATATTCTGATATTAAGCTTTAATTTGATTGTACTGATAATAAGTTTGATGTAATTCATTACAAAGATATGCCTTAAGATTTCATTATTTAATTATTATAGATTACTTTAAGAAAAACAACTGATTAAAGATCTAATATTAGATTAATTTTATATTCCAAATCTGAAATTGTATTTATTCAAATAATTTGTTTAAATTCTTATATTCTATTGGAAAATTTAAACAAAAATATGGTTATAAAATTGTATCTAAAATTACATTCACCTGATTCTTAAATTAGAATTAATGATAATGGAATCAATATTTAGTTGTATAAGGATGTATCTTAATTAAAGTACTTAAATAAATTTCAAGAATAAAATTGATTATAATTATAAATTTTTCAGAAATTTAGAATTTTCATATGATTTTATAATATATATTATTACAATTATAATTTTTAATATTATTACATATTATCATATTGAATATCAATATTAATTTTAGAAAATCTAATACTAAACCTATTATATGTCTTGGATTTCTTAAGAAATTTCCTCATAATCAAAGAAAACTACATTTTAAAGACTTTTTGATTTGTTGATGTAACTGAAAGATTAAATTTCAATTCCATATTAATAATTCAAATAAAATGCAGAATATTGAATATTGATTATAATAATTAAATAGATGAGCATTCCTAAATTTACTTTGTCAAAATAAGTACGATACTGTACATTAATTACTTTGAATTACCATCCATTATGTTTATTACTAAACCAAAACACTAAATTCTCAGATATAATGAAATTAATTAGAATTGGTTGGAGAAGAAATTTGAAATCCTTAAGACTCTTTAAACCAGATGGTACAGAAGTTGAAGAAGGAGATTTGATTAATATAAAAAGAGGTACAACACTATATGCAGAATTAAGTAATGAAGATATTAAACCAAATATTATCTAATAATAATATGATATCATTAAAAAGATTGGAGAGGGTGGTTAAGGAATTGTACTACTTGGAAAACATAAAAATACAAAAGAATTAGTTGCTTTGAAAGTAATTACTTTGAAAACTTGGTAAGATTAAGAAACAAAAGGAATTTCATAAGAATAATAAATTTTAAATGCATTAGATCATAAAAACATTGTCAAATTACATTAAAGTTATGTTACATAAAATTAAAGAGAAATAATAATGGTTATGGAATACTTAAATGGTGGATCACTCTTAAATTAAGCTAATTGTATATACTTATTTTTTATATATTATTATAGCCAAATTAAGTGAAGGAGATGCAAAATTATATTCAAAATAAATAGTAGATGCAATTGCTTATTGTCATGAAAATAATATTGTTCATTGTGATTTAAAATTAGAAAATATAATGTTAATTGCTCCAAATTCTAAAGAAGTAGTTTTTTTAATTAAAAATTAGATAAAAATAATTGATTTTGGAGTTTCTAGTTATGCTGGACAATAAATATTAAATGATAGTGTTGTAGGTACCTTATCTTATCTTGCTCCAGAAGTATTGTCCTCTTAATAATACAAATGCATTTAACCATCTTAAGATGTATGGGCAGTTGGATGCATTATTTATGGATTAGTTTTTGGAAGACTACCTTTTGATGGATCTAATCCTTCTGAAACGTATAGAAATATCATATAATGTAATTATGGTATTCCAAAGAAAAATGTCTCTATTGATTTAAAAAATCTATTAAGTTAGATATTTGTTAATAATCCAAAAGAGAGATTAAATATCTTTGATATTTAGAATCACTCTTGGTTTAAAGAATAACCTAAATTATTTAAATTATCTTTTCGTAATGGTAGATCATCAAGTGTTAGTAAATTAAATTCTTATAGATAATATTAAGATGAAGATTAAATAATAGTTGTTAGTTAAAGAAAGATTGTCTGTAGTAGAAGATCTATTACTAGATGTGATAAGGTATTGTTATTCAATAAAATGAAATGATTTGTAAATATATTTATATTATATATATTGAGTAAATATTGAAATCCTAATTAATCAACATGATTATCATAATATTTCTTCTTCTAACATTCTAATTGCATTCAATTAATTTAAATCCTTATAAATTTCAAATTGACATGCTATTTAATATAATATTATAATTACTATTATCATAAGATAGAATATCTACCTTTGGACTAAGTCTTACTTATATTTTATAAAATAATTAATTATTAAGTAATTTTTATTTAAGTTCTTCTGATTAACTAAACAAAATACTAATCTTTATTAACTCTAAATCTGATTATTTATTGATTTCACTTATGTGAACAAATACTGTTTTTCCATTTTAACATAATCGAATAAGTGTTTAAAATATAATTACTAAAAAAATGTTCAATATCTATTCATTACTAAAGACATATATATCTTCAAAAGTACTACTAGAAAATTCAATTTAGATTGTTTGATATGCCATACAATATAAATGTATTAATCCTTTTATCATATCAGTAATATTAATTTATATTATTTTTTATTCAATTTCCTAAAAACTATTGCATTATGTATATTTTCCTATGAAATACATACAATGTATTTTCATTTTATATATAATACTTTTAGAATTATTTGATATCATAAGAGTTTATAGTAATTGTATTTATTTTTATAAGAAATTGATTGTCAAATTTTAATGTTAATTTATACCTTAAATTAATGCAGTTTTAACTTTATCTAATATTCTTAGTTTTTCTTCTTGTTAATCAAATACAATCAAAAATACATGTTCTCTTAAATAGAAATCAGAAAATCTAATTATATATTTTTTAGTTCCATAAATTGATTCATTTCTTTATAATCTTAATTGAAATTAATGTATCTTTTTATAATCACTATCAGTTCTACTTCTTGTAACTAAATATTATTCCAAATTATCATTGCCCATTTTAAATGTTCTCAAAAAAAATCTTAAATTTTCAGAAGGTGTTTTCTCATTATTCCAACAAATCTCACTCATATCATTAGTAATTTTTAAATTAAAATTTAATCTTTCTTCATCAAAAGTAAACATAACGAATGGACTTTAAATAATTATTGGTAATGTTTATTCTATTATTAATTAATATTGATACCCCATTATTTATCAGAGAATTCCAATAAGAAATGTCCTCTTTGAATTTAATCATTTTGATAAATAAATATAAGTATACCAAAACTTGTTATTATTATTGTTATCAAATCTTATCCCATAAATACATCATCATTTACTAATCCAGTAATCAAACATCTTGTAATTAGAAAGAATATCAACTAAATAGGTGCTTCTTATATACTTGAAAAATAAAATATTATCATATTAAAAATCATGATATTTTATCCATTCAAATATATACTAGATTAAGGACTTTAATAATAATTTGATCTAATCTAAAGAATACATAATATTATATTTGTAAATTGAAAGATAGTTTTAACTAATTCTGGAGATCCCTTAAGAGATATAATAACTAAAAATATGCTGTAGATTGTAAAACCAATTTCCCAATATATGATTTCATTTTTCTCATAAAAAAAAGAACAAATTAGTTCTATTGTTGAAAGTAAAAAAATCAAAATTGCAAGTATTTTCTTTATCCACAAATATTTCATTATTCTATCTTTTTAATATGCTTATTCAATTGTAGGATGTGAAAATTGTAAAGTATACTTTTTTGTCATGGTATTTTGATAAATTTAATATTGAAATAACTATAAGAACCACATTGAAAATAATAAATATAAATATCAACATAGTTGTTTTCACATAAAATAATTTTGATAATATCACTGATAATAAAGAAATCAAATAATTTCATCTTCTAACTCTCTAATCTCTTCTAAAGGTTAGTAATTTTTATAGAGATAAAATTTCACAGCTATTATAGAATAAAAAATATTAATTTACATTAATTTAATGTGAGAATTGAGAGATTTGGACACAATCTTCTCTGTATTTTTTAAAAGAAAGGATTATTTTCAAGTTATCTTTTATATTCTTCATAACATTCAGTTCTTACAATAACATAAAATAATTTTGGGTTTTCTTAATCTTATCCAAAAATTATCTAATTTCTTAATTCATTTGCTTTTAATCGAATCAATAATTAACATAATATTTAAAAGAATGTTTAAATTAATTCTTCATTACTCTAAATATAAAAATCACAATATTCATCTGATTATAATTCTATTTAAATAGGTTAATAAGCATTGCAATATAGATTTACCATTAACTATAATAGTTTTGTGAGATTAATATCTTTTATTTTATGATCTATTGTTGAAAAACTATTAATTTATAAAAATTATCCTAAAAAATACATACAATGAATCTTTAATTTAGCTAATAATTAAATTTACATTTTTGATGTCATTATTGTACAAATTTAGTTTAATTATTTTTTTAAGAAACTAATAGTAAGTTATTAATTTCTATTAATGCAAGCAATTAATGAATTATTAATACTTTCTAAATAATCATATTTATTCTCATTAAAAGTAATTAAATAATATTTTTAACCAAGAAAACATTCAACATAATTTAAATTGAGTGGAGATTTATTATTGTCTAAATTTTGTACAATTAAGTTTTGAGAATAATAATAATTCTAATTATTATCGAATAGATTGTTTCTTGATAAAATATATTATTCTAAAGATTAATCTTCATAATAAGTATTCCTTAAAAAGGATCTTAAATTAGATGTAGGTGCATTAGAATCATCCCATTTTATAGTAGTAATCTCACTTTAAAATCTTAAATGAAAGCTTGAACTTTGTTCATCTAAGTTAAACATTAGAAATTAATTTTATATCAAATCAGGCAAAAACCGAACTAATTTATATATTTTATTACATAGTTATTTTTGAAAACATTCTTAAGAAAATCTAATATTATGTCCTTGCTGTTGAAAATAAACATATACTCCTATTGTTATTCCTTCTAGCAATTAAAATATTAGTTTCATTATGCTGAAATTGCCATTCTATGATATTTGAATCCAAATTTTAAATCCAATGAATATGATAATCTAAAAACATGCTCCTTTCATATTCAATATACTATATATAATCATTAAAAAGATCATAATTAATTATGAATTTTACTCAAATTCTTCTATGCTGTTTATCAAATATGTCTAAATTTATATCAAACTCAGAACACAACAAGTTACTAGATTTCCATATTTCTTAATCCATAGTTTTCCTTTATAAGAAATCACTAACAGTATAATTGTATAGATTAAAAACCCTCCTCCATAAAGAAGATAAAAAGATTTCCCTGTTAATAATGTTGAGACAATTCTGACTAAGGCAAAGATAGTCATTAACATAAAAACCAGAATTTACTGATTTCTTGTACTCTTGTAAACAAATTCATCAAAATCGAATGCATGTTTTTGAGTGAAAAATCTTTAGTATTGTGTATTCATATTATTTTATTAATAAGTTATAATATAGAGAAGATTGAAAATATAAAATCATTTACTATAATTAATGTTAACTCATTTTCTAAATATTACTGATTAACACAAATTGATCCCGTTTATTTACTCAATTAAATAGTAAAAAATACAAGATTATGGTCTGAATAAAATTTCAATTTATATTAATTATATAATTTAGTAATTAATTACTCATAATATAATTAATGAATATGACTTTATAAAATTATGCTTTTTAACTTTATAAGGACTTTTTGAATTAAAACTAATATTAAAAAGTTTAAAACCTATTTTTGAAGGTATTAATTTTCAAATTTGAAATACTTACTGATAATAGTACATTACTTCAAGATCAAATTTCTTTCTTTTTCATTTGAACTAATAAATGGACTCTTTTTTAATATTCCATCCAAATCCCTATTAGATCAGAGACATAAAGAGATATAGGAAAGAGTAACTTAGTATTGAGTATTTTCCCAAAGTTTTAATGACTGGATTATTTGTATTATTGTTAACAAATATACCTTATTAATATTTCTAATCTTATTTCATGGATTACAACTTAATTTAGAAGGAAATAACCAAAAAAAACTATTATCAATTTTCATCATTTTATCTAATTATCTAAATTATCCATATTATATTTTAAAATACTGGATAAAGTAAATCAGCATTCAAATAAAACTAAAATCAATTGGTTATTAAATCATACTATGCATTTTTATATCGAATTAGAATACTCTGGGAGAATTTTCAAATCAAATTTTATTATTGTGTCTTTTCCATTTTATTTTTAATTTATTTTCACAAAGTCATATAGTAATTATCTTGTATTTGTTATTCAATTCAAAAAATAACTAAATAGATATAAATTGATACTTATTTAGTTGTTTAAGTGGTTGATTTTATTTATTATAATAATTATTATTGAAAATTATTGCAAGCTTTGAGTATTATATTAGAATGTGTAAAATTTGAATTAATTTTATATTTTACATAATTTGGGAATAAGTTTTGGATTTCATATTTTTGAAATATTTCTTAGGCTAGGTTAAAAATAGACAAAAGTGATATTTAAAAATAGATTGTAATGATTTTAGTATGAATATGTATGTAAATAGTTATAATTAATTAAATATTATAGAATTTACAAAAAATAATATAAATCATAGAATGTTCAATATAAAATGCAGTTTGATAAATTCAATTTTATTAGACTATCAAATATTCATTATCAAATACAAGATGTGTGATACAAAATTACCTAACTTTTTAGTAAAGTTGAAATCAATGCTTAATGTAGTATTATTCAATAATTATAGGATTAAGTTAATAGTCATATAATTAGTTGGAATGAAAAAGGAAGTAAATTAATTATACATGAAACTAAATTATTTAAGTAAATAGTATTACCATAATACTTTAAGTAACCTAATTATTCAAGTTTCTAAAAGTATATCTAAAATATATATATTTAAGGTAAATGAATAATTATGGATTTAAGAATATCAGAATTTCATCTAATACTACAGAATTTTATAATGAAAATTGGACAAGTGATTACAGAAAAATTGATAAAATAAAGAGGAAAAGAAAGATTGAATTAGAAATGGATACAAATACTTCTTTTCTATCTCAATTAATGATTTTGAAATCTTGTTAAATTTAATTAATGGAAAATTTGTAAAATATTAATTACAAATAAACAATCATAAGTTAAATCATTTATGATTTACATATGAAATCATTAAAATACTCAGAATTATTATCATAATTTCTTGATCTATAAATATGATTGATTATATTGATATATATTTATTTTATCTATTCAATAGTAATATAAAAATCAAAATATTCTTAAATATAATTTAAGTATTCATGAAAGAACTTTAAGAAGAATTTGAGAATAATGGAGAAAAGTAGAGATAAAAATTTTTGAAACATTTATATGAAATTCTTGATGTATTTATATATACAAATATTAAATAGAATCCTTAAAATGATTAAATCATAAGATGGTATGAACATGGGTTCGTAATTTGGAATGTAGATGAATTTAAAACATAATTGCTACCTTCTAATTTTAAACATAACAATTACTAAAGTTTTATGAGATAACTCAATAAATATGGATTCAAAATAAAATCTAAAGAAAATTAAAAAGCTTATTTTACTCATCCTACTATTAGAGAGAATTAAAGGGAAACAAAAAGAATTCTAACTTACAAAAAAGCTTAATCAAAAATAGATTACCAAAAAGAATTAAAAGGTTTAAAAGTATAATTAGACAATCTCAAAGAAGGTTAAAAGATCTTAAATAAGTAGTTTTAATTATCTATTAAAATCATGATGAAATTGCAGTCCCATTATGCTAGATTGAATATGGTATCATTTAAGTATTATTTAGATGACTTTGCATACCGTTGGGTTTGCAAACATTTTTGGAAATCTTATGTACACAAATCATAAGAGAATATGGGGAAATATTGGTGGAGATCTTTTTTAGGTAATTAATTATAATATTAACATAAGTTCTAACTTAATTCTATAGTTTAAGGGTTTCCTGAACTCCTAGAAACAAAATTACAAACACCTATGATGAGTAACTTAGGAACTCCATTGCCTTTTTATTAATTCTTTGGCTAGATGAAGGAATTCACAAACTTACTTCTTTAGTGAAATGTATATATAAAATTAGATAAAAAACAAATATTATCTATAACATAAATTTTAATTTTTCTCATTTCTTATAAATGTTAATTGATACAAAAGACAAGAATTAAAGGGAATCCAAATTCCTTTAAGTTTTATATGAAATTTTGGATGTAAATCCAATATTTATAATTGTAGAATACAAACTAGGATATTGTTTAATGGTCTGACTAAGGCTTTTTTATTTCCAGTGTATAATCATTTAAAACTAATTTGTTACCTCAATATTTTAAACATAATAAATACACAAGTTTCTTAAGACAATTAAATAAATATGGCTTTTAAATTAAGGAAAAATAAAAAGACTCTGTCAAATTCATTCACAAAATTATTAATTAAGATAAACGAGAATTGAAGAAATAATCTTTGATACAAAAATAAGAAAACAATTTAAATATTAGAGATGAAATAATTGATATGAGATAAGAATTAATCAAATTACAAAAGTAATAAACAATACTTAAATAATAAATGGAAGCATCCAAAAAATTGATGGGTCATTTAATTAATAGCATGAGTAGATTTATTAATGTAATAAATTATTTATATTAAATAGGTTACTACATCAACTATTGAATATTCAAAAGCTTTTTCATCATTAATTCTGTCAAATCTAAGTAAAGCTGTTAATAATGTATCAGGAGATCTTTTATAAGTATATTTAATTTCCATTTTAACAAATAGCATTAAATAGGAGCTGCTAAACTCGCCTTTCCAGATTTCTTTTCATCAAATTTTATTACTCCTACAGCAAGCTTATTCGGAACACCTATACCTTTTTATTTCTCTATGTTATAAGAATTATTGTTTCTAAGGGACAATATAAATAATAAATGAGTATTCCTCAATTTTTAATAATTTTATAATTGTTTAACATAAAGTAAATAATGAACAATAAATCAATTTAAAGCATTTTCTGTCATTTAAAATGTTCTTCTTGTGGTTGCTCTGCTCTAAGTGGATTCCATTATACAATTTAATTTTTCTTTTAAAGAGTATATCTATTCTTCAGAAGCATCTGTTATCCATTTAAATATCTAGTAATATTAAAAGAGAGATATTAACTTTATTAATAATTGCTTTGTAAGCTAAATCTTCTTAATCAATAAGAGTATCAATCTTTAAACTCAATTCTTAATTTAGAGCTTAAACACCCATCTCATATGATATTATTTCATTATTAATCTTTTCAACTATAATATAATATTCTATATATTACTTATCCAAGTTGCTCCTTCCATAAATATTTAAGATTTATCAATAACTTATTTAACTTTCAATTACTCATCTACTTTTGAAAATAGATTTCTATTGATTGTATCTTTAGATTTTTTAGATTCTGATTTTTGATCAGAAAATTAAACTTTTAGATTTCTCTCAGTTTTCTTTTATGTCATAATTCCTTCATAAGGTATTCTTGAATTCAATTATCTTTTCAAATTGTTTATTTCATTATCAGTCAACTATTTATATTTGTTTATTTTTGCAGCATAATGTTCATAAAATGTAGAATTAAGACTTATCAATAATTCATTTTTTTATGAGTTATTCATATCAATATTATTGATTATGTCTATTACTTTTTAGGGTATCCAAAATCTTAATAGATATATTCATTTACATCTCTTCTTTGATTTGAACTTCAACCTTCTTATTTCCATTTTCTAGTATTTTAGATTTCTGTTATTAAAATTCAGCTTAAATGTAATGTTAATTGTTTTCTATTTATATATCATTAAATTCTTTAGTTTATTTCAATAATCCTAACAATCTAGTAATGTCTTATTTTAATTAATCATTTTCAAGTCTTATCAATCTATTACTAGATTTATCCATCTACAAACTATCAATAACTTCTTCTATCATCTCAAATTTCTATAATATCAATTCTTTCTCTTGTTTCAAGGTTTCAATATCTTTATGCTGTTTATGATTAATTTCCTCAAGTTCATTTATCTTTTATTATGCATCAATTAATTTTGTATTTTTTTAAAACAATTCTTCTTATTACTTATGAATTTAAATTGAAATATTTTTTGGATTATATTTCACTTATTAAAATGCTTGTTAACTATTAAGTAATTTATTATTATCTCCATCAGCCCTTTAATTTCCACTATTAATTTACTATTATCTCATTATCTCTTACTTATTTCATATGCATCCAAATGCTTGCTAAAGTATCAAAATCTTTGTCCTCTTCTTATTTCATAATTCTAGAAACCAACTTGAAAACTGTTAATTAAAAATTTATTGATTTATAAATAATAATAATAACACCTTTTACACTTACTAAAAATATATCAATATGAAAACATCTTACAAATTTAAGTCTTATTATTATAGATTCCTAATTTAAATTAACTTAAATAACTCTATGAATTAAAGTAAGTAATAAATAATTAAAAATAACACATGATAACTAGGTTAGTTTTTTATTGTTGAAATTTTGTTATTGCTTAAAATTTGAAGGAACCTTTAAGATTTTATATTATTTATTAACAGAAGATTTAGAATGCCATATCTTCCTCTATTATAATTATAATTAAATCTATCAATATATATATTTCAATAAGAATAAAACAGAAAAACCTATAAGGAATACTTTATATATTCAAAACCATTCAAATTAATTTATTTTATATTCCTTGGATTGCTAATTATTTAAAATAATCCTAAAAAAAACTGTAGTTATATTAAAATGTACAATTATTGAAATGTAACAATAATCAAAGAATAATAATCAAGGGGGGAGCATCTTATATTAATATACTTAAAATATTTATTTATATATAAAATGAAACACATTATTTGGTTAACTTATTTTAATTGAGTCTAATACTTAATATTGTATACCTTATTAGTGATATAAGTATTATTATAGTATTTTAATGAGAATGTGGATGAATTTAAGTAAAACTATAAAATATGAGTAGAGAAATAAATTATACTGATATAACTTATATAGTATGATAGAGAAGTTATATATACAAAAATATCAAATTTAGTTAACGTTTAGATTTCTTCTTTGTATAATTGAATTGGTCTGAATGTTTAGTTTCAGTTTCTTGATTTTTTTAGACTTTCTATCAGACAACTATTAATTTTATAATTTTAGTTGTTTAAACAAGGATTTAATTTCAAAGTCCTGCTCAATTTGGAGATACTCTGTCAATTCACTATGAAAAGATTCTTATTTGAATTGCATAATTTGGATGTCTTTATATTAATTATTTATTTGTTTATTAATATTAAGAATCATGATATTTTATTAGTCATAAATTAAACTGGATTTAATATTTTATAATAGTCACTTTGTTACCATAAAAAATAACTTTCTTTCCTTAATAAAATTGCTATTTTATTAATTCCAAATTATTTACATTTTAGAATATCATATATTTAATACCATCATGTATTCAAAATTGAATGATATAACTCCTAATTCACATTTTAATGGAAAACATTCTATTTTTCAGAAATTTGTGAAAACACTAATAAAAGAGAGTATTTTGAATGCTCATAGAAGTGTATTCCTTTAGATAGATGAAGAGGTGATAATTTTATTTATTTACTGAAAATTATTTCATCTTCAATTTTTTCATCTGAAGTTTGGTTTTTTGATCAATTGCTCATTCTTTGAGTGAGATTGTCAGATAATCAGACTAATTAAATGGTGGTTAGGATCAATAAATTATCGTTTAATTATTAATAATTACAAAACTTTATATTATTCATGTAAAATAAGTTTTTAAATCACATAACACACTTATAGACTGAAAATTCTTAACCATCAGAATCTCATTGGTTATTGATAACAGGAATTATAGTTGGTAGTTTGGTAGGGATAATTGGCTTAGTTTATGGTTATTTAAAATATAGATAATACAGAGTGTATTAGGAATATTCACAAAGGCCTGAAATTGGAATTCCAAAAGAGGAAATTGGATTTGTTTAGAGAAATAAATTCAGATTTTGGAAATTATATGAGAATAAGGATGAACCCAATACTCTAGTGAAGTAACAGCAAAAAGAAAGTATTTAAGAAGCTGCGAACTTCAGATTATTACGGGTAGTACATCGAGTTGAAGTTCTTGTGTAAGCCTGGTGACATATTCACGATGCGAGGAGAGAAACCAGTTGCAAAAGATGCCACATCGTACTTTGAAATTGAGATAGAAGACAATCCAAAACAATGTGACATTATAATAGGATTTTGTTCATCTAAGGAATTTCAAAAGGAGTTGTCTCTAGGTCGATCTTAGACAAGTGTAGGATTCCATTCAAAAACTGGTTAAGTTTATTGGAGGAATGCTTTACATTAAGATCATAAGTTTTAAGCTGTTTATGGAGAGACAATTGGAATTGGTATAAGATAGAAGGATGGGAGAGTATGGTTGAGTTACAATGGGAGGTTCTTGAATCCTCCACCTCTAAGTGAAGGAAAGAACCAAGAAGACTTAGAAAAGGAGAAGAAGAAGGAAGAAGGAGAGAGTGAAATTGATATTGGTGAATATTTAAAATTAAAATTTTTATAGACTTGAATAATAGGAATAAAGAGATTGAGGAAAAGAGGAAAGCTTTGGTTTTGAGTATGGGAGAGCATTAAGAGTTATATCCTGCAATTAGTGTTAATGGACCTTGTAAAATTAATTTAAATGTTGGGAGTATGTAGTTTAGGATGAGTTAAAAGGAATTGAGACATGGATTATTGCATTGATTGATAAAAGCAATAAATATATATAAATTTATATTTTATAAATAATATGAAGTCAAGTCTCAAGAAGAAACAAATAGTCTGGGCTAGAACAAAAGGACGTAAATATTTTAATTTATTTATTTAGATCCCTGGTGGCCAGGAATTGTATTTTATTTATTTATCTTATTAAGATTACACAAGTATTCGATGGAAATTAGTATGCTATTAATTTCATTGGTGATGATTCACAGTAAGGGTACATTCACAATATATATAGCTCCATATTGATGAGTGATAATCTTTTTGATTTTCAAGAGAAATTCGAAGAATTCAATGATAAAGTCAAGAAGAATAAAAAATTGAAAGAAGCAATTCAAAATGCGTAAAAACTCTAAAGTACCGCCTTTTTAATAATTAGAAAAACAAAAAAAAAAGCATAGTGATAGTGAATAAGAAGATAAAAAGAAAAGTATCATAAGTAAACGAAATCTGCGAAAATAATTGAAAAAGCCCGAAACTCCAAATAAAGATGTATTCAAAATTTATTAATAAGAATATATAAAAATCTCCATAATAGGAAACTCCTTAGATGTAACAGAAGAAACAATATCTAGACAGAGAATTTTAAGATTTATTGTTATTATTGATAGCTGCCTAATTGAATTATGATTAAATTAAATAGAAATTGACACCAATCCTTGATACTATAGAAGCTTAGGTGGCTCAAAATAGTACTATCACAGAAGTCCTATCTGAAAGAAAGGGATCTATTCTGAATGCCGTCTATTTAATATTGAAACATTAAAGTGAATAAAATCCAGATCACTTTTTTTAAAGAGATATTCATTAATAAATAACAAGATTACATGAGTTAATTAGCAAATTAAAAAACTCATTATTGAATTAATTCTTCAATGCTGCTAACATTATTTAGAATTTATCTGAAGTATGTTTTAATGGTAATAGAGGTATTTACAAAATTTTATTTATCATCTAGGTTAAGTATTTACAACAATAATGAATTAAGATAAGATAAATGAAAAGAAGATAGCATAAGTATCATAAACTGCATCTTAAAAACATGCTATTGAGAATCTTTAATAAACAAAAAGGTAAAAAAAGAAAGAGAAAACTGAATAAAAAATTCAAAGCAATAATGGTAATGTTTAAATTCCTGAAAATACTACTGTTTAAAATAGTAATAATAATAATAATAATACATCTAATTAATCAAAGAAAGATTAAATAACAAATGAAGAGTCAAAAATAGAAGAAAAAAAGAATAATACTGAATAAACTAAAATAATTAAGTAAGATATTGTAGTTTAAAAAAAATTGTAAAAGAAAAATGAAATTCCAGATTAAGCATTAAGAAGAAAAGTTTGTCTTAATATGTTAGAATTAGTTTAATTGTTAGGAATGGAAGAGGAAGAAGCAAAGAAAATTACAATAAAAATTGAAAGTTTAGGAAGGGAAGCTGATCCATTAATGAGAAATAAGTATGCTAAGTTGATGTGGCATTGCATAGTTAATTTAGATGTATATGATTGGAAATATAATTTAAGAGTAAATTATTAAAAAGGGAAGAGTTATTAAATTTGATAGACGAAAATGCAGATCAAAGTGATGTTTGGACTAAATTAACATTATAACCAATAGATAGAACAAGAAAATTGATTCATATATGATTTTAAATTGAATTTGATAATTATATAAATTCATTTCTGCATAAATTATTTATATCTTTCTGAATCCAATTTTTATTGTTGATTGTTTGGAAAAACTAATTTCATGCTTTCTTATAGATCAACATCAGTGCCTGTGAAATTGAATCTCTTTTAATTGAATTCAATCATTTTGGCTTTGAAAACTAGATCTTCATTGTCATAAAATACTTATTCCTCACTTTCTTATTTAGATTATACTTCATTATTATTTTATTATTCTTATTAAAATTATTATTCAAATTGATTTGCTTCCTATTCTACTATTTATTTAGATTATTCTTATTTCTTTTTTTTACTTCTCTTTTATTTTTTTTATTCCTTCTTAGATTAAGATTGTTAATTTTCATCTTTTGTTTAATTTTCTACTTCCATAATATCTCCTTCAATATCTTTTTTTGATTTCTTTTTAATTTTTTCTGGTTAAATTTATTATTTTAATTTTAATTCTTCTGCTATTCTTTAAAACTTTTCTTTTCTCAATTTATTCCTTTTTCCTCTTTCTGTAGCTTCATCTTTATTAGGATCCCATTCATCTTCTAAATGTCTTTATTCTTTACTTATTTTTTTTTTCTTTTCATTCTCTTCTTCATCATCATCTTTAAATAATTCCATCTCATCAGTTTATTTCATTTATTCTTAAGGAATTTATTTCTCTAAATTTGAAATAGTTTTTTTCTCTCCTTTTGAATCACCCTTCCAATATGTCATAACTAAATTTTCTATTTTATTTTTAGTATATTTCGAAGTTAAAATACCAACTGTTTCAATTAATTAATATTTAGATACCTTTGCACAAACAATATAACAAAATAATCTATCTCTTTCATATTTCTCATATTCTAAGACTAAACTAGGACAAACAGCTTTCAAATGAGATGCAGGTGTCCAATGTCTTTATTTATAACCAATAAATGAAGTTTAGTATTGATATTCTTCATGAATAGTTTAATATCGTTTAGCCAATAATTAATCTACATCATAACTAAAATATTTAGGATTCTATTTAGGTCTTGGCATTTCATTATAATAATCCTTAACAGGAACATATTTCTATTTAAATTCAAAATTAGGATTTCTGGTTGCAAAATATTCTTCAGGTCCTACACCATAGTATTCCCAAGGAGATAAACTTAATCTATGTTTAGGGAATGGTAATTTCTTAGGTTTCTTTCTAGATTATTATCCATAAGGTCCATCATCTAAATCAATACCACCACTGAAAATGAATTCAGTTGCATATCTACCTCTTTTATAAACATTTAACATAGGATTGATATCAGGTTCTGGTGGTTTAACAAATGCTTATTTCAAGACTAAACCATTTTTAAGTAAAACATCATAATTTAATAGATCTGGTTTGATTGGTTTTTCTTCAATATCTTCTTATTAGAAATTTGGATCAATCATTTTCATTAATTCACTGATCTTTTATTTTTCTTCAGCTGTTTTCTTATTATCCAAATCAGTTCCTCTCTTGTACTTCTTCTTATTCTTGTATTTATTCTATTTATGTAAATATTCTATCATTCTCTATTAATATTATTGAAGAGTCTCCCCTTCTCTTATTTTTTCAGGAGCTACTTTTTCTTATTTCTTTTATTGTAACAATTACTTTCTATATTCTTCATCTTATTTTCTTTATTTAGCAGCATTAATCTCTCTATTCTTCATGGCAATAAAATCCTAATAAGACACAGGTGCAACATTTTATGGTGGTTCAACATCTGGAGAATACTCATCTCTTTATTTGTATTTATATTAGATTTGTAAAGCTGTATTCTCATTTAATGGTTGTGTGATCTATCGATTAATAAATATAATATATACCTTCTATTTTAATTATGAAAAAACATCTGCTTTCTTTTTGAAATGAATTTAGGGTAAAGTTTCATCTTCATTAGGTCTAACTTATTTTCTGGGTATTTTATTCATTTGCACCTCTTCTTCATCAGATTCTATATTCATTTTTGTTTATATATTATCAGGAATAGAGATGACTCTTTACTTTGGCTTCTCATTATTTTTTTGATTTTAATCTCCAATTCCTTTAGTAATAGGCTATCTAACTTATTGTTATTTCTATTATTAATTTTATTATTATTGATTGTTAACATTCTAAGGTGGCTAAGGTTATTAGATTTTAATTTATGAAAGAGACTTTTGCAATTGTGACATACTATCAAGAGTATTAGTAACTTAATGTTATTGCTATTTGTAAACATCAGTTTGTGTTTATAATTGCTATTGCAAAGTGAGTTATAATTGTGATGTACTGTTTCTGTCTTCAAATTTTTACAATGCACATTCTTATTTTTTGACAACTGTCTCTGAAAAGTTGGGCAATGAAGGTTTCTATTTAGGTCCTTCATCATCTGAGTTAATAGTGATTACTAAACCTTGTCTAGCTTGTAATCTAAATGATATGATGAAATTGCAATATACGTATTATCATCTCCTATTTGAACATCTAATACATTGTCATCCTCAATCAATTATGGACCGTATTTATTTTTGTAATATTGTCTAGCAATTAGTGAGCGAGCCCTTTATTACATTATATTATTTCATTAGTACAATTAAGCAAAAGTAGATATTGCTAAATAATCATTAAAATAATTTGTATCACTTTTTAGTAGATAAATAGAAATAATCAAAATAAAATCATCATTTACAAAATGGACTTACAGCATAGGTTCTTGATTTTAAATGAAAAGAGTTTCCAGCTTTAGTAGATTCCCTGTCTCTAGAAGATAATTGTTAATTTCTCATGTATTTACTAGAATCTAAACGAACACTTGGTTATGGAGTATGATATGTTTTAGATACTTTTCTCATCTAATTACATCTTAGACTTTCTTTCTCTTATAATAGTTTTTCTATATTATCTGTTGAAATTTCTTTATCTTGTATTTCCTATTAATATTCTAACACTTCATGTGCATATTGATTGAGACAACTATCAAATTGTTCATCAATACTTACAGGAGAAGATAAATTCTTTTTCAATCTTATTGATGAACTACTTTGAGGTATTACCAACTATGGCATTTCAGGTATTTCAAACATTTTTTGAGTCTAATTCTATTTTGTCAAATTGAATATATATTTTGTTCTATTAAAATCTTCAGCAAATACTATAGCCTTTTAAGACACACCAACTTTCTATTCATTTTATCTAAGTTTCATTGAAAACTCATTGCTTTAATCAATAATCTTCAACATTTATTCACTCTATTCTTCCATATTATCATAAATTTTAACATCATGTTGAAGTTCTTTGTGAGTTGGACTATAATTTTCATTCTTTTATCTATAGATATCTCCCATAGATTTCTCTTTAACTCTATATTAATCAGTTCTTAATTAATTGAAAACTCCCAAACGTTTTAATAAGCCATCTTTTGTATCATTTGTTATTCTTTTATTTAACTCATCATATATTTCAATGTATTTCATTCCTTTGGCTTTGAAATATTTGATAGGTAAATTCCTGCTATTAAGTAAATCATATTTAGCCTTCTTAATTTTATTTTTAAAATCAGGATCATTAGAATTAAAACTGTATTTCTAATTAAGATCTCTGTAGAACTATTATAAATGAACAATTTTGTTTTTAAAATCATTTTTCAGTTTCATTTCATTCTTTTCAATTTATTTTTAAATTGCATCATTATCAAAATCTAATTCTAATTAATTTTTGTCTGCAATTGTTGCTTTATTATCATAATACATCTCCATACCAATATTTTACCATCCATTTATTCTTTTCTAAAATAATTTATGATATATATATTACATCTTTATTATCTTTAGGTTTCAAAATACGACATGTACTTGGTCCATCCATTTTAATTGTAGTATCCCATTTACAAATTCTTCTTTAAGCAAATTGAAGAGCTGTTTATTTTGGGCATTTCTATAGTTATTAAATAAGAAAATTACATTGTTTATTAAATGTAGAAATGTTGCTGCCTTGGTGGGTGAAATGTAGATGTCTTTCATTTTCACACCACCCAATTTCTAACAAAATTTGAAGTATGGAATCTCATTTAGAAATTTATAATTTTACTTCTTCCTTCTCTATTGATTACATAAATAATGAGATTAAATAAAAATTATAATTAAGACTCTATAAAACAAATATTTACAATAGTGAAATCATTAAGTATTTTTTCTTGCTTTTTCTAATTCTAAAAGTTTTTCAAGCATTTTGAATCTCAAAAAACCATAATCTATATATTCAAAATTGAGAGAATTCTTTTCATGAGCTAAAAGAATACTCCACCATATCCAATTCAAATTGGATAATATTTATTATCTTCTAATTCTTCTTTTTAGATAAGAAATTGCATGGAATAATTCAACAATTTCTTATTAACTTAATCTTTATTCAAGAATTTATTTAACTAATTCAATGAAAGTCTTTAATTCATCTTTATTTTTATTAGTTTTTTCATTGATCAACTTTTAGATTTATTCTATTTCTATTTAGGTACACTCCTTATTGAGTATATAACTAAGTGCAAGGAAATGTGCTTAAATTGGAGCAGTATTAAAATTGTCATCCACAAGAATGTAGTAAGGTGCTTCTTCATATTAATAATTAATTGCAGATTCATTAAGAAAATTAGCAATATCATAAGATGGATAATTGTATGAACAATATTCATAATCAATGAATATGATTTCTTTGTCTTTATTAGATGTATTAAATATGTTTAATTAATTCAAATCATTATGGCAGAATTTTAACTAAAAATTATTGTTAATAACAATACCTCTTCATTATTCTCCTTTCTAGTCATTTTATTTAAATAACTGAATTCTTCTTCATTATTTATGAAGTTTTCCATACATTCCAACTATTTAAGTTCTACATCTGTATATAATTCTCGTTTCTCAATCTTCTTGATAACATTTGCTTTCATTTCTCCTGAAAGTGTCTTATTTATAATAGAAGATGACCCATTATTAGGTATAGGGATCTCCATCTAATGGAATTTCTATAACACTCCCATTGACTTAAATTAAAAATTAGCTTCAGCCATCTTTTAGTTGTTAGGATGTACTCCATCTTTTACAAATTCTTCCATTCTCCAACTGTTACCACATTCCAACTCTTAAGGTCCGAGGTCCATATCAGATATAGTTTTAAAGATGATTCTCTCTTATTATGAATCCACGAATCCTTCAGCATTCCCAAATCTAATTTTAAATGATAAAACTCATTACTCTCTGAACAAAATTGTTTAAGGTGTAGTGTCAATCATAGCTTAGGCTTTATAAGTAATATTTGTTAAGCCTGTCAATCTAGTGATGCTGATATTTGAAGGACTGACTGATTTCCATGAAGCGAATTTCTCGGAGATGATTTCTTTGATTGCATATTCTGTAAGATGTGTGCTTCTTGAGTTCATTATTTATTATATATGGATTTTTTAAATACAATATCTCAGGTATACAAAGGCACAATATTGTTGTAATATTCGTACGTAGATGATTTAAATCTGACGTGTATTTTTTATATTAAATATATTGACAATTATTTTAATGCAAACAATTAATTATTATTGTGATTGAAGTTTAATATTATTTTTAATACTAGAATTTAAATGGATTTTCAAGCTTAAAGTATTTTAATTCAATATGTTCACTATCAGCATTTGATAATGCATATATTTCCAATTATTATATATAATAATAAAATAAGTTTGTGTATAGAATTAGTATTATTAAACGATAAACTAATGTGTAATTAGTATTTTTTTAATTTCAAAAGTAGATAAACCAACAGTCAACAGAAAATATCTAATATCATTAGGAGATTCATGATAGAACTATCTTATATTCCAAATTGATTATAAATTATATTATAAAAACAGAAAATTAACTTTAAATGATTTACATTACTTAATAATTATAATTTATGGAGTTTGTAAATAAAATCAAAATTGGAAGGCTATTAATGCTTAAAATCAAGAAAAGATATTTGAATTAACTAAAAAGAAAGGCAATAAATAATAAAATTATAAATTATTTTATATAACATTTATTTTTAATAGCATATATATTGACATTCATCTAGTAGAGTATAAAGATATGTAATCATAAAATAAAAAGAATAATATTGAAATTATCTATATTTTTTATGTAAAAAATTAATATAATTAATGAATGAAGTTTAATAATTACTTCTGACATCCTTTTCTTGTTCCCCTCATAGATAATAAGCAGAATAATAATTGATATAACATTTAATTACTAATCCTCAATATTTTCAATAATTAGGATTGTTAATTATAGTACAAGATTAAAGTAATGAGATTTCATATAATTATAGATTCCCTATAAATTGCAACAGTTTTGAATGCGACAATTAAACTAATGAAATAGAATTAATGTAATCATCTGTCAAATATATATAGAAATAATTACTTAACTTTACAAACAAACCTTATTCGAAATATTCACAAATCTGAATGTTCCTTATAATTGTAAGTATCTAATAAAGTCAGCAATTACAATTATATTTGAAGAGGATACATGTATATTCGATTATTATAATTAGAATATAGTCATCATTTCCAAGAATGCATGTTTTTATATCTGAAAGATCAAAGGTCAATTGTATTATCAATCTAAATTTTCAGATTATTAACAGATACAATTATATATGCTGATTCAGTAGATCAAAATAAATACTCCTGGTATATTGACTATATTGAAAAAGTAAGCAAAATCATGATTCAATCATTGAATTTAGAAAATGATTATCTAATTTACTTTAACTTTTTGGAATGCTTTGAAGGAATGCTTTTTCGTTTTTTTAGATACGATTAATAAAAGTATTTGTTCTTCCAAAATTTTATACTTCAAAACTAAGAATTAAGTTAATTATTTATTAATATCTTTTCATTTTAATCTTAGAATCATTTCATTTAATGTTAAAGCAATTCAACAATTTAGAATGTAAAAATATTAACTCTTAAATGTTATAAACATATTATAATTAGAATGCTATCGAGTAGAAATAAATAACAATTACAAATATTTCCAATCTATTAATAATTAAATCAATTAATTCTTTTTTTAATACAATCCTTACAAATAACCATTTCAGAAGAAGTAACAATAACTATTTTAGATATTCTATCTGCAACAATAAATCAAATAGAATTCTACAATATTTACTAAAACTATTATTAATAATTGATTGTTACTCATTTGTATTCTTATTTAGTATATTCATCTAAATAGTTATCACTATTATAAAATGAACCCTTTGATTTTATTTAATAAGAACTTAGTTTTGATAATTAAAATAAACTTTAATCACTTCATAATCAAACCTTAGATTTGATTAGAGCCTTGATTACACACATAGATGGAGCTTATTCATTTTTATCTTCAAGTGCTATTGTTTTATTTAAATATTCAATCAATGAAATATTATCAAATCAATTATTCATCATAACAGAACAAGAATTCAATCATATTAAATTATTATAAAATAAGTAACTTTTTATAATACTTAAGCTCAATATTTTATAATTATGATAGTAAATAACGATTACAAATATCTCTTATTATTCTAATCATTATTTAACCTAATATAAATACCAGATATGATATACAGGAATATTTGGCAATTATCATATAAAACAGTTACCAAGTAGTTCTCTAATGTTAAGATGAGTTAATTTAAATACTTTACACTAAATTAATTGGTGAGAGCTATTCAATTTTAAAATCCACAATTAGCTAGCTATTTTATAAATAGTTTCTTGAGAATATAGTCAAACTTGAACAGTTTAATAAAATGGCATTAATTTACTAATAAATAAATACAATCAATATAATTATATCTTTAGATGAATTACCAGGATTTATAGAGAAACATAAACTTTTTGATGAAATTATATAAAAATTCTCATCTTAAATATCTAGTACTTGTGATATTAGAATCTTACAAATGATTGAAGAGTGGGTCTCTATATATCAATTTTAATAGAATACAATTTAACTTATAGCATAAAATCTAGCTTAGAGAATACATTAAGAATAAACAAATATATATAAAAATCAAATAAATAGAGAAATATTTATTGAATTATCATGGAATATTCTTCATTAAATAGTAAATCAATATCATCATTTCGACTATTTATTATGTGTTGAAAATCAAATAGTTTTACTATACAAACAAGTTAAAGAAGAAGAATCTGTCTAATATATAGAAAAAATGATTCTATTCGTATCATTAATAATACAGAAATTAAAAAGAGTGACTATGGATTAAATATCATTATTGCCAAAATTCGAAAGAATCCTATAATCTTAAAATTATTCATTATAATCTTTATTTGAACTTTTAAATAATTATATGTATTATGGTAGAGAATATTTTATCAATGAAACCACCTAATCGATTGTATAATCATATAATTATATTTAGTATTTCCATTTGGCCTTATCAAATATTGTTTCTAATTTGAATTCTACATTAGATAAATGTGAAGGTGCATTGTTGATATAATTAGGAATTTAATGCCTTAGAAATGATCTTAATGAAAACATTCTCAGACAAATATTTGATCATTCCTATAAAATTATCAAATAATCAAACACTGATGAATTATTAATTTCTAGAATTAAATGTATATTCTTAAGTGCATTATTGACAATTAAGTCACTTTGTGAAAAGATAATTGGTAACAACTAAATTTAAGGTATTCAATAAGAATTATATGAAATGAATTACTCTGCTGGTTATGATGCTAAGTTATTTATCATCTATTATTCTAATACTATACTCCAAAATCCTGAAATCTTATTAACTACTGGTTGTAATATTGTAACAATGTTATCGTATTAATTGGAATAGCAAAAAGAAGAAAAATTTGAAAAATTTGATGGTTGTTCATCAGGTTCAGAAGATGATCATTGTTATGAAAATTTTACAGAAGAGAAGAGAACTCTTGATGAATAAATCACTAAATTTAAGAGTGGATACGTAAGTGTTGATGAATTTGAAACATTCAAATAAGCCATATATTAATTAAAAGCACATCATCCTAATATAATTACATAATTTAAATAAGGTCTGCATTTCTTCACTTCGCAAAAATTATAATAGATGTTATCAGTAACTAGAGCTTAATATGAACAACCTAGATAAGTAAATTATTTTTTGTATAATAGATGATAAAAATAGCAAAAAGGAAGAATCATTGAATTGTGATGTAGAATGATTATATAATTAGTATTTATTAATATAATAAATATTTTTACTTAAGTTTATTTTAATACATTTTAGTTGTAAATGAAGCTCCATTTCAACAAATTTATTGTGAATGATCAAATATTATAATAAATATCTCTTTAAATAACTGTCAAACAGATCAATTAATATCAATACTTATTCATTAAATAAATTTAATTACATTAATAAATGAAATCATTTATGTACATAACATTAATTTTCATTCTATTGGCATTTCTAAATCTATTTAACTTTACAGATTTTATATACCTAATTTAAGTCATATTCATTTGTTAAACATATTACATTCAATCTTTCCATTCTTTTTCAGAATGTCAGACTGTTTAAAAAATTACTATCTAAAAATCAAATTAATGAAGAGAAAAGAACTAAAAAAATAATTAGAAACAACTGTTATAAGTGATCTAATAATTTAATAGGATAAGAATGTATTAGAACAATCAAATCATAATTTTTACACTCAATAATGAAGTGCTCTTCTTCTCTATATTATTTAGTTCGCGCCTAAACACAATTTCACTTTCTTAATTGACTTTCTTGTTATTCCATCTTATGGCTTAATTTCAAGCTTGAGATTTTTTAGCATTTGCTTTATTTCTAACTCAGTATTCATTTAAGCAATATCTGTATCTTGCTCTACGAAACTTTTTAATGGCATCTCCATTTATTTTTCAAGCTTGATTTGATTTAAATAAAATAAATCTCAATTTTATAAAACAACTGGATTTAATACAATGCAGACAACAATTAAAAAATATTACAATAATATTAATTATTATGCAAACAATTGCATTCTTTAAAGATGAAGATCTCAAAGAAACCTTTGCCAACTAAACTTCGATGTAAATCATTATTGAAACATTTAGAATATAGACACTTTAACATGCATAATTAGAAGTGAGCAAAATAAATGAAAAATCTCCATAATTGAGAAAATAAGCTGAAATGAATTTTGATATGGCTCAACATACAATAACTCGATTGGCTGATGACTTGAAGGCCATTCATAAATCTATAAATAGGATTAAGGAATTAAATCAACTAATAGATGAAATAAAAAAAAAATAATGAAAATCAATAATAAAATGCAATTTTAAAAAAACTAGTAATCAATTCCTATATCTTATCATAATTAATTACTTTTTTGTTTTGTTTTGAAATACCAATTCCAAAAATTCATATTAAATATAATTAAAAATCAATAAAAAAAATTTAACTTATCAATTTCATCCGTCAATAGCAACATGTTACAAATCTCAAAAGAAATTTATAATATTGAAGCAGGTAGATATATGTATTTTATTATTTTTATAAAAAATGAATACTTTGAAATATTGACCTTTACACTATTTATAATTAATATTATGTAGATCATGAATTAAACTTGATGATGATTCCTTAAAGACAATAATTATTTTTTATTTACAACTTGACATCTTCAAAATGTTTCCTTTTGCTTATATTCCTTAAGACTTATAAAGTACGAAAATATCACACATCTCTAGGTTCTTTCAACTTTTGTCAACCTTTATATTAATTTCCATGGTTTTATCCTTATTCTCAATATGGAAACTTCTCCACCAACTATTTGTCTTAGTTTCCAAGAATAAACTGCCACTTTTAGTAGCCTGAAATTCACAGCTAACAAAACATAATCAAAATGAATGATATATAGGCAAAGTTCCCAGAAACGTTTCAGAGATCTTTTTAAATTGAACCAATTGAAGCACCAACTAGTCTAGATTATAATTAATCCATTATTTCTAAAATGCCCATTACTATTTTGAACAAAAGGAAAAAGAAAAAATCCAATAAAAGCAAATTCTTTAAAAAAGGTATGCTTATTATTTTAACTGAATAAGGCCATTGGACTAATAAAGAGCACAGACTATATTTATAGTTTATTGAGAGTCATATAGAGATTATGTCAGATTCAGATTAGAAGAAAATGAATAAAATATTTAAACAGATGTCTGATTTCCTAAAAACTAGGTCTGCAAGTCAATGTCGATCTCATCATTAGAAATTCAATCCAAAAGAGTTTGTAGTTTTGACTACTGTGAAGAATTCAAGTTAATTTAAGATTGCTAATGAATGATATAAAAACGATGATATATAAAAAATTTGAAAATATTTATGTCCAACTATCCTAAATTTACATAAGATAAAAATGTATTTTCTATGTATTAAATATATTGGCCATTCCATGCATAAGAAAAGTTGAAATCACAAGAAACATGAGAATTTTGATAAATATGAGAAATATTGTGCATTTTATATTTATGTGGAGTATATAATTATTTAGATTTAACATTTATAAGAAAAATTCTAATGGCAGATAGCTTTAATTCAAGATAAAGTGGATAATTTTATAATTTTGTGGGTACAGCAGGTACAGCAGATTTCTAAGCTGGATCTTGTTAGGAACAATAGTTAAAATAATATCTCTATTTAGATTGAGTTTTGGTAAAAATTTGTTGGGTTATGGCGATCAATAATAAGGTGGGAGTTTCTAAAATAATTATTTGTAATATCATGCAATGGATTAAGATATGAAAAATAGTCTAGATCAATTTTATGAAATGAAAATTGAGGATGCAGATAATCAGTTGATTTAAGAAGAGTCATCAAATTAATCAAGATAGAAATAATCAATACAATCAGAAAGAAATAGCCGATCACAATATTCAGGAGATTAAGAATATCGATTAGGTTGGCTTTACAAAATTATAAGTAGAATCAGCTGACTAAATCAACAGCATATTTAAACCTGAAGTAAAATTGCAGATTCCTCAAAATTAAGGCAAAAGCATATACAGAGAAAAGATAGAATCGTTATTAGAAAAAAGAACTTCAAACAACAATTCAGTGTCACCATCTATAACACCTAGATCATAAAAAAGTTAACAAAAATTAGAGAGAAAGAGATCGTAGAATCTACAAAATGAAACATCAAATGAGATTACTGACCCTACTCAAGTTAAATTGGCAAAGAACAGAGAATCAGCCAAGAATTCGAGAGAAAGAAAGAAAATATATCAATAATTGCTTGAAAAATAGGTTTCTGAACTTTAAGAAGAAAACGAAAAACTGAAGGATATATGCAAGAATTAAGCCCATTCCATGGAGATAGTAAATAAGAAAACATAGAAAGTAAGGTATCTTAGTATCTACAATAGTTTTAAACATTCTTAGAGTAACAATAACAAATGTTTGAAAAATTGGAATTATGTTTAATAAAAAAAGTTAGCGATGACGAAATCGGTATCATCATGGATGCATTAAGATATAGAATTTAATCAAATTCGAAGGAAAGAAATGACACAGCTAGAGTTTACTTTGATAGCATAGCTGAGATCCTATTACCAATGTAGGTTAAGTATTTGCTATATGCATGTTCACATTCAAAAGACATGTTTGCCAACTCTGACTAGTATAAAATTTGTTAATGTTTAAGAGATTACACTGAATGGATGAAGGGTAATTTTGAAAATACTAATGTAAAATTTGAGAATCTCACTAAGCTGAAGAAGTTTCAAAATAAAGTGCAATAGTTTAAATAAAATATTTCAAAGTTTTTTTTTATTTATTATTTAGTTCTCTTGATAAAATTAAAAATGAAATCAAATCTATCTAAGATCAAGCCTCTAAACTTGATCAAATTTGGGATGCTCTAAAATCTGTTATGAATCCAATTTAATTGAGCACAATGATTTGTTCGCTCTATCATGTAAGTAATCAATGAGTAATCTTAGAATTTATATAGGAATGAATTATAAACAAGTACGCTATTTGAATAACTGCGAAATTCTTAAGCTGAGGAAGATGATTTCTAGTTCAAGATTGAAGAAGAAATAAATTTTGGTATAAGTAAAATGGTTAAAAGGTGTTGAGAATTAAAACTTATTTATTAAATTATTATTTTTGTGTCAGTAGTATAGATTAATGACTGAATAAAAAGTAATTTCTATCTTTGATTTTGGAAATACCAGGAATAAATTTTGGTAAACATGTGATAAATCTGTTTTGGATGTAAACCCATATCATTATATATCAAGTCTCAAGCATTTTTAGTTGAATAAGAATTTTTGACAGCAGGCAAAGTTAGTGTCAAACCCATCTTCATAGTACTTGGATTGGAATACATTTATAAAGTAACTATGGACAAATTATAATGTGCACCTCTCCTCACTACTCATTTGACTTATATTGAACCAGGTGCTGATCATTTCGTTTAATTGAATTCTGATGAACAACTATATGGATTCAGATTGCAATACTAAACTAAAACTTTGGAGATTTTTTTATCTGATAGGTCTCTTTATGATTAATGGAGAATCCATCTCAGAAAAGCTTGTCTGCTTGAGAATTTCCATGATGCTTACATGGTTTCTAAATTGATTGGAAAGGGAAGTTTTGCAAAGGTATATCTAGCTACCAGAAAAGACAACAATACATAATATGCTATTAAAGCATTTAGCAAATCTTTTATGCAACAATAACATAAAGGAATTGAAAGCCTTTTGAACGAAATGAAAGTGATGAGGAAATTAAGCCACCCAAATATTATCAAATTACATGAAGTACATGAAACAGCTAATTCTGTTTATTTTGTAGTTGATATTGTGGCAGGAGGAGAGCTTCTTTAAAGAGTTAGAGAAACAGGTATTAGGATATTAAAATTCTTTAGGATTTTTACCTGCGGAAACATTATAAAGGTTGGCATATAATTTATTATCAGCATTAAATCATATGCATCAATTCAATATTGCTCACAGAGATCTTAAACCTGAAAATCTTTTACTTAAATCTTATGAAAACAATCATGAAATTATCTTAGCTGATTTTGGATTGGCAGCTTAATTACAGGATGAAAATATTTTATTTAAAAGATGTGGCACTCCTGGATTCGTTGCTCCAGAAATTTTAGAATACACTGATGGCCAATAATTTTATGATGAAAAATGTGATGTTTTTAGTGCTGGAATAATTTTGTATCTATTAATTGTAAGTAATTTTCTAAATTATAATTTTAGACTGGAGGTTAACCATTTACAGGTAAGGATTAAAAGGCTATTTTGAAAGCCAATAAGGATTGTATAATTGATTTTGATGATTCCTTATTTAAATCTGCTCCAATATAAATGCAGGATTTGATACGATCCATGTTGTTAAAGAAATCATAAGATAGATTGAGTTCAAGTGAGGTATGAATTGCAATCATTAAGTTAGTGCTTAAGACATCCATATTTTAAGGAATTAGCTAAAGAGCATTAAGTAAAATAGGAGAAATTTTAAAATAATTTAAATGACTATAATTAGTAATACAAGAATAATATGAAAATGGGGTCAATTGATTTGAATTTGGAATAGAGATAGCCAGTATTTACAGGAAATTTGAATTCAATTGAATCCATTTCATGTGTGTCTAATAATTCATTTGCCAAAATAGAAATGAAAGCTCCTTCTGTAGTTGGAGCATCAAAATTTAGTTAATATAGTTCTAAACTGAATAGATTGGGCTCAAGAGACATATCTGGTAATTTATTAGCATTAATCATAAGATATTCCAACAACATAATTATAGAAAACAGAATCAAAGAAACACATTGATTTACATAGAATTGCAATTCAAAATTCACACAGAAAATAGTTTTAAGATTAGTATGAGGATTAGCCTATTTAAACAGAAGGATCTGAAGTTAGCGAAATGGCCAGATTGTATAATTCAACAAGATAAATTCGTATTCCTGAAAACTTGCCATCCTTGTCTTAATCTAGTAAATAAGCATCTACTCCGACTAATAGAAACAAGAAGATACCTTGAGCGCTATTTTTCATTAAAAATGTTGTTTATTTCATAACTTATTAATAATTATAATTGTTTTATGTCATTCATAGGCAAATTAGGATAAGGCCAAAAAAATAGGAGTAACAAGTATTCACAATTTAGGTGAATTGCCAAAAGATTTTGCTGAATAGATATTGAAGAATGATATAACATTAATGATGAGTAAATATTAAGATAGTATGGCATTGAATAATCTCATCCAATTGTATATGGTATCAATAATCATATGAAACAATCAGAAAGGAGTTGAGTATTACGAATCTCAGAAAGACTAAAAGAGTGAGTATTTCAAAAGTAAGTTAAATTGGTTAATGAGTCATCCAATTATCATATCTCCAAAAAAAAAAATAGATGAGCAACCAGAAAAAGAGTAAACAAAAAAAATTGATTTCAAGATTCACACTAACGTTGATTAGATTTAGCATTATGAAGATGTAACTTCATTTGAAGCTCCCCAAGAAAAACCAGAAAAAGAAATTTCATTGCATAAAGCCATAATACCTATCTAAAATACTGAAGTAAAGTAGATGATTGATAATCTAAAGATGGAAACAACTAAAATAAACTAAGTAATAAATCTATTTTAACTAGATTATTTAAAATGATCTTGATTCACAAAAAACTAAAATTGCAGATAGAATACACAAGAGAAGTAAAAGTTTTGTAAATAAGAACAAATATGATCAAGATGAATGAAAATTTTGATATGATTATGTAATTAATTTACATCTATTCTGATTTTCTTTACTACAGATATAAAATATCTAATCATCAATATTTTTTATATCCAATCTGAGCCCTCCCATATATATGTGGAGTGTTGAATAAATGCAATAAACTATCTTTTTAAATTGCTTAATTTCCGCTATTTTCATTTACAAATTAGTCTAATTGATCCATTTATTATTGCTATTACTATTATTAATTAGCAAACTTTTTATTTAAAGTTTATAGTTTTTGTTTCTTTGGATCATTCTCAATTGCCTTTTGTTATTGATATCCAAGAGCCAGTTTTTATCCTCCTAATTCGTCAATGTATGCTTAATAACCATCTGCTCCATCAACCAATGCTTAAAAACTAGCAACTCCACCAGGCATATAAGGTATTGCTGAACCATCAGGTCTTATATCATCAACAGGTTTTCCTTAAGCAAGTCTCTCATCTCTTGTTTCAATTACTGTCACATGGTCGTTATATTTTTAACCACAAGTGCATAGCCAACTACTTTAAAAACGAGTATTGCATCCACATTATCCTTTAGTACACTTTTTTGTGATTGGATCATGCTCTGTATAAGAATGATGGCAAACGCATTTTAGATCTTAGGATCCGAAAATGGGAATGTAATTAAACTAAGGGCAACTGCATTACTTATTTTTACAAACAACCTTATATAATTAATAGAACTGTACTTTTTTATTTTTTGGCATCATGTATTCATGTTCTTTAAATCTATGACCACAAAAACACATACTAGCTGGACCAATTTATTTGCACTCCATTCCTTTGCTGTTTTTCCAAGTCGCATAGACACGATTTTTGATATTCTAATTATTTTAATTTATAAACTTCTTATTATTTCTTTTTTAAGGCTTCATACTCTTTCTCACTTAGTAATGGTCCTCCATTATCACCGACTACATTGCAATAATCAATATATGCTTGGATATGTTGAGCAGCCTAATTATTAAATACAATTCTTTCTGCCATATTATAATTAAATGATAATTAAATATTAATGATATTACTATTATATTAATCTACAACTATATGAAATTTTAAACTATAATTTATATGCATTTATATATTCTTCATAAATTTTGTTTATACCAATATATAATTCATTATTGAATTTAAAAATGATTGAGGAAAGAATGATAAAATGTGAAAAATAATTTCCAACGATTTTAGAATCATCTCACAATATTTAAAAGAACTATCCGCAGGCTAAGTAAACAAAAAGAGGGGGTGGATATTTAAAAAAAGAAGAAATAAAAAGTGAATAAGTTTAAAGTTTAGCTGCTCAAAAGAAAAAATCCCTACAATTAAGAACTTCAAAATGCTCTTAATAGGATCTAAAAAAAGGAGGTTAATTTGGAAAGAATTAACCTGAAAAAATCATTTCACACACTGGGCACTCCTTAAATGAGGCTAAATTTCTGATCTCCTGGAAACATTTAGGAAGTACAAAACCATCAGATTCATATCATCCTTATTCCTTAATCATACAGCATAATCCAGAAATATTATTAAATTATTTTGAAGAAAATGATTAATATATAATTATTGAATGACTTCATCATTTATTTCTAAGTGCTATGTCCAAATTGCTTCTAATTAAATCAGAAAACTATTTTGTATTAATGAAGCTAATAATTATTAAATAAGATTACTTTATTGCTTATTCACCAAGCTATTATTCAGTTAAATACATATTTTTTAAATCCTAAAATATTGCAATCTCATAGGCAAAAGCTTCGTTCTCATCTTATCTTTGTTAAGCATACCTTTTGACATCGTCCCTTCTCATATCTTAAAAGTCTTCTTCCACTTTTATCTTTTCTAATTAATAACTAACTAATCAAATTACATTGAATTGTATTTATAGAGAATATGTTGTCTGCAATTTATTATTAGAAAATTGAGTGTTCTTTTTCTAATTAAGTCTTTCTTTTTTCATACAAGGATGTTTGAGTTTTATCATGAAATAAGTCTTCATTATATTGATCTTAGACTGCCTATTTCACTTTAACAAGCTTCTGTCTTATCTTCTTGAGTTGTTTCATATTCTCAAAAGTTGGAACACTCTCTATTAAAGCAGTTACCAAAGGGTAATTTCCATATCTCTTATTCAAGCATCCTGAAAGTTCTTAAACATCTCTTTGAGCTGGGTCCTAAGTAAATTCAACAATAAAATACTCTTTAATTAATATCCAATTCTCCTGATATGAACTTTTATACAATGTCCAAGGCTTTGTCTAAAATCTTCAATGCTGTCTAATGATCAGTAACTAAAAAATACTGAGACTTCACGTACTCTTTTCCTCATATTATTTGCTGTTAGTTTAATGCATCAAATCTTCCCTTTGAATGGCCACTCTATTTTAACTCACGAAGTCTTGTAGGGATGATTGCTTATTATTCAATTAGACCTATTTCATGAATAATAATAGATATAGATACAAGTTAGTTTTTAAGTACATTTTCCACAAGGTTAATGCTGTTACTAATCTCTATTTAAGCATTTCCAAGTAAAACCTCTAAATCATCAATAATTTTTTTATGTTATGCTGATCTTTAAAAAAAGTCTTAGGATACTTCCTCTTACATTTCTCTCAAATCTTCACTCAAATCTTAAACAGCAAAGTCTAAATCAACTAAAAAATTAATTGATTGATTACCCAAAGGTCTTTCTAGCATGTTTGATAATTAAGCCAATGTTAACACAAATTTAGACAGTTTTCCATTTTTTAATTCATCTACTTTCTACTCATCTAATTTTGGTTAAACAGGTAATCCTAATGACAAAGTAATTAGAACTGTTAATAAAATTCTCTTCATTATTACCGTTTTTATATTTATATTAATAATACAATTATTTTGAGATCGAATTTACTTTTTTTTACAAGATGAGAAATGTAATGAAATTCTGATTTTTCTGGGGGTGAATGTCAAATTGGGATTATTTTTAAATTGTAATAAATTAGAAAATCTCTTAATAATAATTATGCAATTATTGAATATCTGATTCACATTCATTAGTTGATTTTATTTAGGAATAATCATCTCATTATTTTTCAAATCTTTATTTGTAATTTTTAAGAAAACTGATAAGATAAAGTTGAGAAAATATAAATAGCATTTCAGAACTTAAAGAAATTACTAAACAAGTTAAAGTAATTATGATTTGCTTTGAAAAAGTGAAATACATGGCATCTTTCCCTTTTTAGGCAAATAGGATTTACTTTTGAGGTACAAAAATTGGATAAATCGCGAAACAAATAATCTTCTCAAGATATATTTTTTTTTATTTCTTTATTTTCTTCTTCTTCTTAGATCTTGACGAAACTCCAAAAATTTCCATAGCATTTGAGATTTAAGTAGGGTTAATTTTATAATGCTGATCTAACAACTGTGAAGTTTAAATATTAAAATTCTTATATTGAATAAATTAGAAGGTCATTGTAATTGTAATTCAGTTTTATTAGTCTATTTCTCTCCTGATGGAAATACATTAGCATCTGGTAGTAATGATAACTCTATTCGTCTATGGGATGCCAAAACAGGATAATAAAAAGCCAAATTAAATGGTCATAGTAATGAAATATTGTCTGTCTGTCTGTTTCTCTCATGATACCATATATCAACTTTTTAATGGCAAAATAATCACTCTTTTTATTAAATATATAAAGAAAATAGGGTTTAATTCGATAGTATTTCTTTTTGGATAACAACCAATTAACATGAAGTGATCAAGATGGTCTAATAATTCCGTTTTAAATTTATCCAAAATGCTATTTTAAGGTTTTGAGAGACTTCTTCATATAAAGTGAATAACTAAATATTATTTATGTAACGTTAAATCCTATAATTATTAAATTATTTATTAGTGAATAATTATTTTAATAATATAAGTTAATATTCACATGCCTTTACTTGTGGCCAATGATTAATAACATTATTTTTGTACTTTTATATAAATTTGGATAATTTCTTAATTTCATAATAAATAAATTTAATTTTGAAATTGAACTAGATGATGAGTTCATCAAAAATAGATACAGTTTTAAAAGCCATAAATGATGAGGGAGACCATTTTTTCTATAAATTAATAAATTTAGTTTGAAATCATCTCCAAGGTGACTTTGATTATACATAATATCAGTGATTTATAAATGTTTATTATTTGATCTATGTTAAAATTTAGGTTGAGCTTAAGTTAAACAATAATTAATATTGTTAGATGGTTGATAGGGAAGATATTATTTTTTTCCTTACATTTTAATCCTTTCAATTATATCGTAATTCTCGATGATTAATTATTCTTTTCAGTCTTTTATACTATCTAATTCTTTTAATATCAATTTAAGAATAATAATCAAATATGATTGGAATGTTACTNTATTTAGGAATAATCATCTCATTATTTTTCAAATCTTTATTTGTAATTTTTAAGAAAACTGATAAGATAAAGTTGAGAAAATATAAATAGCATTTCAGAACTTAAAGAAATTACTAAACAAGTTAAAGTAATTATGATTTGCTTTGAAAAAGTGAAATACATGGCATCTTTCCCTTTTTAGGCAAATAGGATTTACTTTTGAGGTACAAAAATTGGATAAATCGCGAAACAAATAATCTTCTCAAGATATATTTTTTTTTATTTCTTTATTTTCTTCTTCTTCTTAGATCTTGACGAAACTCCAAAAATTTCCATAGCATTTGAGATTTAAGTAGGGTTAATTTTATAATGCTGATCTAACAACTGTGAAGTTTAAATATTAAAATTCTTATATTGAATAAATTAGAAGGTCATTGTAATTGTAATTCAGTTTTATTAGTCTATTTCTCTCCTGATGGAAATACATTAGCATCTGGTAGTAATGATAACTCTATTCGTCTATGGGATGCCAAAACAGGATAATAAAAAGCCAAATTAAATGGTCATAGTAATGAAATATTGTCTGTCTGTCTG